TATTGGGTGCTGGTCAGACCGCAGTTGGAATACTGCGTGCAATTTTGGGCGCCGCACTTCAAGAGGGATGTGGATAACCTGGAGAGGGTCCAGAGAAGATCCACTCATATGGTTAAGGGCTTGCAGGCCAAGCCCTATGAGGAGAGACTAGGGCACCTGGACCTCTTCAGCCTCCGCAAGAGAAGGTTGAGAGGCAACCTTGTGGCTGCCTGTAAGTTCATCATGGGGGCACAGAAGGGAATTGGTGAGGCTTTACTCACCAAGGCGCCCCTGGGGGTTACAAGAAATAATGGCCATTAGCTAGCAGAGAGCAGAGTTAGACTAGACATTAGGAGGAACTTCTTCACAGTTAGAGTCTCTTTCCTGCCTATGCAGGGAGTCGGGCTCAAAGATCTATTGAGGTCCCTTCCGACCATAACATCTATGAATCTGTGAAAGGGCATACTGTTAACTCATATCCAGCTTCTTGTCCTGCCCAGGTCCTTTTCTGCAAATCTACTGCTTAGCCAGTTGGTCCCAAGCATGGGATTCATCTATCCTAAGTGCAGGACTTTGCACTCGTCCTTGATGAATTACATGAGACATCTTTTGGCCCAATCCTCCAATTTGTCTAGCCCTACCTTCCAGCTTATCTACTAGTTCCCACAGTTTGGTATCATCTGTGAACTTGCTGAAGGTGCACTCCATCTCATCTTTCAGATAGTTAATGAAGATTTTGAACAAAACTGGCTCCAGGACCGACCCATGGGGCACTCCATTTGATACCAGCTGTCAACTAGGCATCGAGCCATTGATCACTACCCACTGAGCCCAATCCAGCCAGCTTTCTATCCACTTTACAGTCCATTCATCCAACCCATACTTCCTTAGCTTGCTTGCAAGAATGTTGTGGAAGACCACATCAAAAGCCTTGCTAAAGTCAAGGTATATCACGTCCACTGCTTTCCCCATTAATCAATCAATCAATCAGCAGGCACTCACCCCACAGATACACATACAACAATGAAAACAGGCTTATCAAATCAGTTTCATAAAAATACACACTTCATTCTGAGGAAACACCTAAAAACAAGCCAAGGATTTGCATGTCACTACGGTCAAAGACTCAAAACCTACTGTATACGTACATACTGTAAGGGCCCCAAATTCAAAGTGGTCACTCAATCTAAGATTCAGAAAATGCTCAACAGGCAAACAAAAATGCATCAAAGGGAAGGGCAAGATAACTGTAAATGCAGACGTATTTCCTTTATTTCCTAGTACTACAATGCCACCCATTAAGAGAGTAATGCTTATAACATGGTTTGGCTTTTTAATTGCCCAGGAAACAGAAATTTCCATTCCCAACCACCTGTATCCCATACCACTTGGGGCATTATCCAGTAGGCTAAACCAAACTCTTTGAACTCTATCAGGAAATCCAGAAATTGGTGCATCTTTGTGAGCATTAGCATTATACACCGTTAGCACAGTATACTCAGTAAGTGAATAGTCATATATTTCATGAAGTTTCTGAAGGCTTGTAACGTATAGTCCCACGGTAATATGCATCACCAGAGTCTAATCTTAAGGTGACAAAAACAGGGATAGATGTAGCAAGGTCATCATACTAAAAAGCTTAGTCATATTCTCCTCCCACAAATGCAAAGGAAAAAATAATTCATTCATAGCATAGGCTGTTCCATATCATAGACATACAGGGCTACACAAAAAAAAATGCACTTGAAAGAGTATGTTTGCAGCTTATATAGCATTAGACGCTTATCATTGTGCTTCTGTTGAATCATGTGTATTTAAGTACTCATTTGCATGTGCAAGTGTCAGTGTGAACATGCAAATATGTGCACAGATGTGAGCATATGTACAGAGTTTCCACAAGCATAAAGTAAGCTCCTACATTTGAAAATTCTGCCCATTACTATTTATTATTTTAGGAGTACAAAGTCTTACAAGTTCACTATCAAGTTCCTCTTTTACTGGATCACTTCCAGGTGACTTCTCTTGTCTAAATTTACTACTAACAAAATAATGAACTAGTAATAATGGCAGTTACTCATATTTCCCAAGGAGAAGTAGAACAAACAAAAATCACCTGCAATTAGAGTTAGACTTGTCCTGTAAAAGAATTTGCATGGAGAATGGCATCTTTCAGTCAAGCTTTTTATGGAATAAACCTGCATCTCCCTTTGCCTTGTGGAGCATCAGTGACATCCAGTGGCTGCTTGATTGATCGGATTAGTATAAGGCTAAAGCGCCAGAATACCAATTCATTCCCATTTATAAGTGTGTGTGTGTGTGTGTAATGGGAAACAGAACCTGTTGTCAGCAGACAGCCTTTACAATTCGCACAGGATACATAAGAGTTTATATGACTCCAACCATCAAAGAAGGAATAGGCCATGAAAAACAGAGACAGAGATAACAACAGCAAGGTTCTTAAGAGAAGGACTCATCCTTTAAGGGAACACGAGAGGGCAAACTGCTGCCTGCACTCCATTCTCAGGCAGGACAATTTCTCCATGAAGCCTGGCTATTGCTCTTCAGAGTTTCCAGGTGGCAAAAGTTCAAATTCAAGGCTGGTATAAATGGGTGAAATGCCACTAGCAGAGATGGAGTCATACTCAGAGCAGCAGAGAATTTGGCCTACTTTAGAGCAGTAGTTCTCAATCTTTTTTTCGTTTGCAGATCCCTAAAAAATTTCAAATGGAAGTGCAGAGCCCTTTGCGAATTTTAAATGCAAGTGCAGACTCCTTTGAATTGCAATTCACATACCTCTGATTGATCATGGTCCTCTTTTGCAGACTCCTTAGACATAGTCTGCAGACCTCCAGGGGTCTGTGGACCACAGGTTGAAAACCACTGCTTTAAACCAACAGGGCTTGCAAAACGTATCCCATAGGAACATGAGAAATTCCATACCGAGTCAGACCACAAGGACATCTACCTGGTATTCTCTCTCTCTCTCTCTCTGAGTGGCACAGAGTGATGCTAAGGGAAGGATGCAGGACCTATCAAGACCCATCTGTCCCCTTCCTCTCTACCTTATAACTTCTAGCATCAAGAAGGCTAAGGAATTCTGATTTCAGGGCTCTATAATTCTGTTGTCATGTTTAATACCTACTGACAGAACTATCAAGAATTTGTCCAATCCTCTGTTGAACCTGGTTAATTAATCAGCCTCTACAACATTTCCTGGTAATGAGTTCCCCCAGCTGACTACAGCAGTGTGAAAAATAACTTTATTTTATTAGTTTTCAACCTGTTTCCTAATAATTTCTTTTATATGTCCCCTAGTTCTAGTCTTGCAAGAGGCAGTAAACAGTACATTCTTTTTTCTCCACCAGTCATTATTTGTATAGACTTCTGTCATATCTCCTCCTCAGTTATCTTTTCTCTAATCTAAAAAAGTTCTCCTCTTTATAAGAGAGAAAAAGGAAATACACTATATAAACATTCACCATCTTAGAGTTTCCAGCAGACTCTGAAATGTCTCCTGGGTTCTTCTGTGCCAGTATCAATGCCCCCTTAATGCCTTGATATCATTTTGAATTGCCAAAACCCTCATAATTTTCCATATAAGAATGATGTGAAAATATGAAAGCCCACACAAGATCAACTAAGGCTGCTGGCATACATTCAGATAAGTATGTGATGCAGTCTGATCCCTGATCCCAACAATCACAACTTCTTCCACACCACACACAAATGGCAGGACGTGCAATTATGGGCAAGATCAGACACAAGTCCCAGTCACTACTGCCTGCAGCCTTGCTGTCAGTTCCAGGGATGAAAGGCTCCCCAGAGAGGAGGAGATGAGGTGCTATTCCCACTCAAGAGTTTTAAGTCCTCATTCCCAGCAGCCTAGCCAGGACTGCTGGGCATGAAGAATCAATGCTCCCAACACAAGGTTTAATGTCAGGCAGAAATGAGGGGGTCCCTATGCTCAGGAATGTAAAGCCTCATGCCCATCAGCCCTGTAGGAATTGGAGGATCAAATCTTCCAATAAAAACCTCAGGGCAGGGAGCACCTCAGTTCCACCCACCAAAAGCCAGGTTCCTCTACACCCAGCAGTCCCAACAGGTCTGTTGGGCACTGGTGTCCAAAATCCCCAGCATAGGAAGGCCCTCAGCTTCTCCACTTGGACCAAGGCAGCCACAGGCCAGTTGGAGACCAGCTGGTTTTCTATTTTATAGTGCCTTTGTGGCAGGACAGTAGGGGACACTCCTGTGTTGAGCCACCCACCTCACTGCGCCCGACCACCTTCCAGGCTCTGAGTGCCTCCTTGGGGGCACCTCACATCTGGCCAACCCCCTTCCTGGAGCACACCCACTAGCCTGGGGGTTCCTCTGCTACCACCTAGGGCTGGGCTTGATTCTGGCTCTGTGCACCCTGGGAAACACAGACCTAGTAGCCCTCAACGGTACGCGATTCACTTCAAGAACTTGGGATGCTTCCCTCAGTCAGAAGCACAAGTAGTGGTCTCCCTTAGTCAGCCGAACCAAGGGGACCCCAAGGCATAAGCTGGACCCACTCCCAATAAGTCTCCCACGCTAGGTACAAAGGAGAACTTTATTGGTTACAAGAGGTAAGGTTGCAATAGGGTACAGGGTAGAGCAATATCAGAGAAATCCCACAGAGCAAACTCCCATGGCTGGGTAGTCTTTGATCATGCATCTGGGTTACTGCAAGCTATATATCTAGTTAGATCTCAGGTAGCTTACCCACAAGTATCATCCAGAGGCAGGTGGAGATTCCCTCTGGAGGCAGGTAGTTTCTTGATCATGACTTTTGAGACGGGGAGCAAGTTTCAGATGGTTCAGCTCTTCTTCCTCTCTGAGTCTTCCTCATGGCTGCTGCCCCCTCCTCCTGGGCAGTCCTTAACTTATATAGCCCTTGTGACCTCATTTACCTGGTCCAATGGAGGCCAGCATCTGTTGGCTGTCAGCCAACCAATTTGAAATGCATCACTAGTTGCTGGGCAGACTGGTAGTTCCCCACCCCCCAGGGAGCCCAAGCCCCTCACCCAGGTATGTGATACCAGTCACGTAGGCAGAGGGAGCAGGTTTCCCCCCTCCCTCAGGAATGTATCCAGCTCAGGTTACCTAAAGATATAGGGTAAGGTGTGTATCCTTTGCTGGGCCCATCCTGACCAAACTGTCACAGAGCAGAATTTATGGGGAGAAACAGAGGTGGCCTTCTGCCACAGCCTTAAATCAGGTGAATGTGAAGCACCATTGCCATTTATGGCACGATTAACACATTAATCACACCATAAATGTAACATGTGCCAGAGACCTTAAGGAGACATTTTATAGGTCAAGATGTTCATCCAACCTATTTGTCATTTTGTACCTTGGAATGCGAGCCACTCCCTTCCAAGATGACGTCTATGGTTTCTTCAGAGATATTGACTGAGGAATGAAGCTCCAGAGTCAGTTCAGTAAGGTTCTGCACAAAGTCTTTGATTTTCACATCTACAACACAGGAAAGAATGCATCCTCAGTGCCACACCCAATTGCTAAACTCAAAATGCCACTCAGCCATCCACTTCCATACATATATTTGGGAATATGAAAGAGCAGAATGAAGTCTCCAGGAGCCACTATTTCATTGCCCCACCAGTCCTACAGAATTCACAGGCAGGGTTCTGAGGTACATCACATCTACCTGTGGAGCAGAGGTCAAGAAGGGTGCTTAATGCTAAATAACTAATCCACTCATTCATAAACTATCCCCCCAAGACCATTCAGGAGAGACATCCTAAACTGGTGAAGTCAGTCTTCAGCAGGGATCCATGTTTTTCATTCACCGTGAAAAATGCAGATTTCCTCTTTTTAGGTAGAAAAACTCAGGAAATGGCAGGTTCCCCCTTGCAGGCTGGCAGAGTTCCAGCCTAAAAAGGGGTTGGTTGGGGTTGGGGAGAGCTTGAGGAGGGTGATCAGGCAGAGGGCACCATGTGCATGTGTGCACACACATGCACATGACAGCCAGGCAGTGTGGAGAACAGCTCCCATAACTTCCCACAGGTAAATCTATGGATGGGGCAGACTGTGACCTCCATGGTGAGCAGGGCTGGGGTTGGGGGCAGTGTATGGGGCCCAGGGCCCAGGCGGGTATGTGCGGCTGTGGGACCCAGTCTGGGAATGGAAGGGAGCCATGGGTGGCTCATCTGGGGGAGCCATCTCCCTGCCACTGCATGCACTCTCATGGGGGGGAGGCATGGGAGTAGTACATGCACCCCAAATTTGTGAGAGTGTTGGGGGCAGATGTGGGCTGCCCACTACAGGCTCAGGGCTTCCTGCTTGCTGCCCTCCTGTTTCTACAGGCCAGCGAATGGGACCCAGAATGGGAGAGCAGAATGGGGTGGGGCTGCACCACCATGGTAAGGCACCCCCTGCCTTCCTGGCAACAGCAAGGGCAGCAGCATGGAGTTATACCCCGGCTCACGGCTGCCAGGTGGGCAGGGGTTGCCTCACTTTAGCAGCACAGCTGGTGCAGGGCTTCCAGCGGCAGCAGTAACACCAAGCCTCCCTGCCCCACTCCACCCTCCTGCACCAGGTCCCACCCACCGGGCCGCAGAGGACCCAAGGGGAGGGCAGAAGGACGGGGAGTCCTGAGGCTACAGCAGGCAGCCCACATCCTCCCTCCCCTCACAGGCTCTGCTCTGGCCACACCACCCAGGGAGGAAGGGGAGCCATGCTCTACGCTCCACTCCACCAACAGCAGCCACCACCTCCTGCAGGTGGCAGCCAGGGATCAGGTCCTGCTGAGAGCAGGGCAGGGGTCTGTGGGCCCTGGCCCTGATCCCATAGCTCTGGCAACTGGGGCCCCCCTCTGGCAGGGCTGGGCAGGTGGTGGGCTGTGGGTGGGGAGTGAGGGGTACTGGCAGAACCAGGGGGCTGTAGATCAGAAGTAAGGGGCACTGGCAGGGCCCAGGGGGCTGTGGGTCGGAACTAAGGGACACTGGCAGGGCTGGGGTGGGGGGGCTATGCATTGAGAGTGAGGGCCAGGGCACTGGCATATCAGGGCTGCATAGTGCCACAAAGTTGGGGGGTGGGGGCAGGCAGACAGCTGCAGCTGGACCCGTGTCCTGGTGAGCAAAGTGGACAGGGGGAGCTCTGATTTTCCATGATAAAAAGTCCAAAATTAAATGCAGTTTTGTTTCATTTTAATTGCAGAAAAACACGGATTTTGGAGGTTTTTAATCGGAGAATTTGCAATTTTTAAACAGAGGAAACCAGGAACCCTAGTCTTCAGTCACTTAGGACAACTTGTGCTAGTACACTGCAGATCTCTTTTCCTTTCACAGAAAGATTCCAGGACCATGTTACTGGGGAGGTTTGCTACCCTGGGGCCAAATTACTATGTGGGGAGAACAGGGACAGAAACAATTTATTCATAAGTTGACAACACACTAGCAAGCTAGTGTTTTCCACATACAGAATTATTTTACCTTTGTTAAGTTTGTTTCAATTTAATATTTGTTTTCATGGCCTTTAAAACAAGCACACCATGATGATCTATAAAACAGCAGCAGGGTTTATATTAGTTCCTATAAATACACCATTAACTTACCATCCGGTAGACTGAAGTTACTGAGAAAAGCGGCTACTGAGTTTCCTGACAAAAGTGCCTCTAGGTTTTCAGCCAACCTGAAATGACAATACTAGTTTCACAAGTTGCTATTTCTAAGTAGTTAAATACGATTGTATATCATGCATTACATGCACAGCATTTATCAGTACTGAAGTGATGCCAGTTAGACAGATTAGTGCTAAGCACCAGATTTTTCCTGCTGCTTGTGCAAGCAGCAAGGTACTGAGATGGGCCCAGATGACCATGCACCTATACATACTGCACTGACCATCACATTCCTTGTTCTTATAGGGCCTAACGTGGTCAATTTGACAAACTGGGGGTGAAGTAAAGATTTTAGTATAGATCACCCCCGAACTTGTGACCATTTAAAGAAAAAAAAAAAAAAGGGCAAGCCCTGCCTTCCCAGTACAGTGTAAGTAATATCTATCATTGTCTACTCCCCCTCAGGCTGTTGGGTAAGAACAAAAACTATGACAAGACAGGTTTCAATCCTGCCAAGAGCCAAGCGCATCCTGCTGCTTGTGCATTCTGAACATCCCTGACTTGAAATCGACCCAAATAGAGGTTGCTTAAAACCTTTCAGGATCGGGGCCTGGAAATTAGGTTGATATAAGACCTACAACATGTAGATCAGGGGTGGGCAAAGTACATCCCACAGGCCAAATCTGGCCTGCCAACTGACTGGATCTGGCCTGCAGCTCTCCCTGCGGCGTTCTGCATTGGGCTGAGCCACACCCTCTCCCACCAGGACAGGCCGCGCCGTGCTCCTGCCTGCTGGCCAGGTGCTGCTCTACTCCCCTCACCTTCAGCAGAAGCCACCTGGCTGAAGCTTCCCCCCACCTGCCCATTCACTCAGAGCAGCACAGACAGGGGCAGGAGCAGGAAGAGAAGCCACCACTGGAGGTGAGGGGAGCAGAGTAGCATCTGGCCGGCTGCAGCTGCACAGGAACAGCCCTGCCAGCCCGGGCCCTGGCCAGCATGCATAGCTTCCAGTGGGGCTCTTCCTGTGCAGCTGCAGCCGGCCACGTGCTGCTCTGCTCCCCCCACTTCCTCAGTGGCTCCACGTGCTCCTGCTGCACCACTCTGAGCAGTGAGGAAGCTTCAGCCAGGTGGCTCCTGCCTCAGCTCCTGACTGCCTTCCATCAATTCTGCCAGCCTAGCACAACAAGCAGCTACCTGCAGGCAAGTGGAAGGCAGGCTGGAGCTGGAGCCAGAGCTCTGTGCACTGGTGCAGGATCCACCCAGCTGAAGCTGACCTCCACCCACCCAGAGTAGCACAGCAGAGGCAAGAGCAAGAGGAGGAGCTGCTGCTGGAGATGAGGGGAACAGAACAGCTCTTCCAGCCCAAGCCCCAGCCAGTGTACCCAGCTTCCAGTGTGGCTGTAGCAAGCGAGGTGCTGCTCTGCTCCCCCACCTCCAGCGGCAGCTCCTCCTCCTGCTCCTGCCCCTGCTATGCTGCTCTGGGCTGGGGGGAAACTTCAGCAGGGTTGCTCCAACAGGAGGTGAGGGGAGAAGAGCAGCTTTCACCCAGCTGCTGCGACATTGGGAACAGCCCTGCCAAAAGCTGCATTTTGACTGGGCCAGGGCAGGGCCAGCAGGTGTTGGGGGAGTGCAGCACAGGTTTCCCTGGGCAGGGCTCAGCCCCATGCAGAGTGCCACAAAGGAAGTCATCCCTTAGTTCCCAGACCACCCCCCCCCCCCCCCCCCCACCCCAACACCCTCCTTTCTCTCCCCCCCCCACACACACACCCTTCTTTCTCTTCCACAGGCCAGGGCATGCAAGGAGCAAGCAGCCTCATCAGCAGTCCCACTCCTGAACACTACTCCCCACCTGCCAACAGCCGTATAAGGAGTTTTGGTGAGTTGTTGTGAGCCGGGGGACACATGGGGTGCTGACCCAGCCCATGACAGCTCATCAAAATTCCCTGTGTGGTCCTCAGGCCCAAATCATTGCCCACCCCGATGTAGATGCTTATGGGTGCAGACAGAAGTGCAGCTCCCACCTGTAACTTAGAACAATTCCTGCAAAGCGTTCCGAGTTACAACATTACCCCAAACCAGACAGAAGTTCACAGTTGGTTCCAGGGGGAGGGGAATCTAGAGGGAGCTCATTCTTGGGGATATCCCCTGGCTGGTGCTGAAAGGTGAGGTAGGTGAATTGGAGCCCCCACCTGAGGGGGATGGGCTCCAATGCACCCACTCCACCCTCCAGTGGGGGCTGAAAAAACCCCAGACTGAAATCCCTCTGTTCCCTTTCTCCCCTCCCATTCTGAAAACAGTGGCAGGTTGGGAACTCTGCAGACACAAGTTGCAGAAGATGCTCCATTTTGAAATGTCTTTATCTAATACCTCATGCAATGAGGGGTCAGATTTTCACCCAATCAGCCATGTTTTAAGCTGTTTGCAACCACACACTTGTGTTTGGTCATGCCTATAAACTGCTTTCTGTGGCCAGATTGGGCAAAAATTGTCATTTACTCTTTGGAGAGGGCAAAGGGGGTGATTAAAAAAGCAGACCTTTTCACACTTACAGGGAAGTCATTGTTTACTGTTGCAGAACAGATGCCTCTAACAAGCATACAGTGCCCTCTTCTTTCTCCTTTTTGGTCAGAGGATGGTCTGGGTAAGCATAGTTTGTATTATATCTATACAAATTAAATCCATACACATGCAAGGGACTACTAAACCTAACAAAAACAGTGCATGGCAACAGAAAAACAGGCTTTACCTTTGTACATGCTTCTGGATGTCCTCTAACATGAGCTGACATTCACAGCTGCTATCGGTGGTGTTTTGTAAAGTTCTCAGGAAGCTATGCAGAGTACCAGAAAACTTCTTGTTTATATTTACAACATTCTCACAATCTCCTTGGTTAGAAATGGGCCACGTTTTTTCAATATCCTGCACACAAAACAACCAAGTTAAAATAAAATTCATGCAATAGCTTTATTTCCTCGAAATAACAGGTCTACACCACTAAATATTGGGAAGCTTTGCTTGAAAATAAAACACAAATCAAAAAACATAGCTCTTATCTTGTTATCTTATTTTTTGTAAAGAAACAGGAGACAGGATTTTTTGGTTTTGGATAAATAGTAAGTGCACAAAAACAATTAAGTTTTGGGACAACCCAAACTATTTATGAATCCAACCCAAATCCAGCAAGCAGTTTCAGATGAAAAAGCTGGGGGGGGAGTTAAAAACATCAAAACAAAATGTTTCAACGTGTTCCAAATTAAATGTCTTGTTGCAGAAATGCTGAAACATTTTGCTTTGATGTTTTCAAAATTAAGTGCTTCAACTTTATAATTCAAAATAAGATTTTTAATTTAAAATTGAAAGGGAACGAGAAAGGTTAAAGAAATGGGTTAAAGAACCTGGAAAATAAACAGGCTAGTTTGTTTTGGGTCAAATGAAATGTTTCAGACTAACTTAAATTGATAGCGGGGGGGAAGAGCAGGAGGACATCCCTTTTCACAAAAAAAGGCCAAGAATAATTTTCTTTCCCTTTAACTCAAATTCATTTTTCCCAAATGTTTCTGTTCCAGTACCTAACCAAAAAAAAAAAAAAAAAAAATCAGTTGTGTGCTTAATTCCCTCCATAGCCACATACTCCTTGCATCATGCCCTACACAGAGACCATTTATTCCTTTCAATTTTTTCTTGCCTTTTTATTAACTTTGCCTTTTATATAGGTGTTTTTCTAGAACAACTCTATTTATACATACAATGTTTATCTGCATATGCATATATTTAGATATACAAGAGAAAAGTATTGCTCAAAGTCTCCTTGAGCAAAATTCTACCCTCAGATCATTTTGGTGGCGCTCAGTTCTGACAGCTTGCTCTACTTAACATTCTCTGAACTCTCACTCACACCACTGAGTGCTCTGTGTTGACAGTGGAATATCAAGGCTGATATCCAAAAAGTAAAGAAAGGCAAATCCTGTATTAAGAGAATAAAGCTCATATTTCTGGGGGCCTCCAAGAGGCCAATTCTCTCCTGAAGGCAACTGCAAAACTCTCACTGGAGCAAGATCAGGCCCTGGCTGAGGCCCTAGATGGCAAGCATTCATCTTTTGATCAGAATTTCTGTCCAGCAGAGGTGCAGAGAGCAATCCCTCTTGGCAAGCAAAATTAATCTATTTTCTGGGTGAGTTTTCTTTTAGTCTGAATGACTCTGGTTGGAGAGCTTTCATTTGTACTATGTTTGATTAAAGTCTTGCTCTTGTTAAATGTCTAGCAATGTGAAAGCACCCAGAGTGGTTCCATCAATAAATCTAAAGGAGTTCACCAGGGAATTGGCTGAGGCCACATGCTCCTGGTCCATGGTTGCCATTGGAGACTTCAACTACCCAGACATCTCATGGGAAGAGCACTCAGCTAAATCCGAGTGGTCACAAAGCTTCCTCTTATGCGTGAATGACCTCTATCTGACTCAAGAAGTCTATGGGCCAATGAGAGGTAAAGTGCTGTTCGACCTGGTACTGGCAACCGGGGATGACCTAATCAGTGACCTAACAATCGATGGGAAGCTGGGCGACAGAGACCATGAGCTGATCACCTTCACCATCCACCGTAAAGCTGGCAAGTCAGTCAGCAATACAGAAGTCCTTGACTTTAGGAAAGCTGACTTTGACAAGCTCAGGAGGCTTGTTGGTGAGGCCCTAAGGGACCATGACCCCAAGGGGAGGGGAGTTCAGGAGGAGTGGTTGCTCCTGAAGGGAGCAATCCTCGATGCACAAGCTCAGGCTATTCTGTCTTGGAGGAAAGGCACCAAAAGGGCACAGCAGCCCCCTTGGCTCTTCAGGGAACTAGCGGACCTCCTGCTGCTAAAAAGAAAGGCCTGCAAAGGATGGAGGACAGGATCCACCTCCAAGGAGGAATATTCCACACTGGTCCAGTCCCGCAGGAAGTGAACCAGAAAAGCCAAGGCTGCGACGGAATTCCAGCTAGCTACAAGTATCAAGGACAATAAAAAGTCCTTTTTCACATATGTGGGGAGCCAGAGGAAAAGCAAAGGCAACATTAGACCCCTGCTAAACCAGATGGGACAACTGACAACCGATGCCCAGGAAAAAACAAACCTATTAAATGGGTATTTTGTGTCAGTCTTTCATCAGTCCCACGGGATGCCCATGCCCATTATAGGACAGGGAGGCCCGGGTGAGAGAGATTCCCTGCCCTCCATCAATGCTGACCTCGTGAAGGAACATCTTGAGAGGCTGGACACCTTCAAGTCAGCCGGCCCTGACAATCTACACCCCAGGGTATTCAAGGAGTTGGCAAGCATCATCGCCCAGCCCCTGGCATGGATCTTCGAGAACTCCTGGCGCTCTGGTATAGTGCCCGAAGATTGGAAGAAGGCCAATGTGGTGTCCATCTTCAAGAAAGGGAGGAAAGTGGAACCGGTAAACTACAGGCCCATCAGCCTGACCTCTATCCTGGGCATGGTCCTGGAAAAGATCAAAGAGGCCACCCTTAACAGACTAGCTGACAGCAATATCCTGAGGGATACCCAACAGGGGTTTGTTGTGGGTAGGTCTTGCTTGACCAATCTCATTTCCTTCTATGACCAGGTGACCTATCACCTGGGCAAGGGAGAGGAGATTGATGTCATATATCTTGACTTCAAAAAAGATTTCAGTCTGGTATACCATGATCACTTCTTGGCAAAACTGGCCAACTGTGGCCTTGGGTCCACCGCAATCTGCTGGCTGGGGAATTGGCTCCATGGTCAAACCCAGAGGGTGGTGGTTGACGGAAGTCAATTATCATGGTGCCTTGTGACCAGTGGGGTCCCTCAAGGCTCTGTCTTTGGACCTGTATTGTTCAATATCTTCATTAATGACGTGGACATTTGAGTCAGAAGCGAACTGACAAATTCGCCAACGATACCACACTCTGGGGTAAAGCATCCACACCTGAGGACAGGAGGGTGATCCAGGCTGACCTTGACAGGCTCAGGAAATGGGCAGATAAGAAACTAATGGTGTTTAACACTGAAAAATGCAAGGTCCTCCACCTTGGAAGGAAAAACCTGCAGCATCCTTATAGGCTCGGCAGTGCTACGCTGGCTAGCAGTAAGGATGAAAAGGACTTGGGGGTCATGATTGACCACTAGATGAACATAAGCCTTCAATGTGATGCAGCGGCTAGTAATGCGAGCAAAACGCTGGCTTGCATCCATAGATGCTTCTCAAGTAAATTCTGGAACGTCATTCTCCCCTTGTACTCAGCCTTGGTGAGGCCACCGCTGGAGTAGTGTGTCCAGTTTTGGGCTCCACAATTCAAAAAGGATGTGGAGAAGCATGAGACAGTGCAGAGAAGAGCCACGCACATGATCAGAAGTCAGGAAAACAGGCCTTATGATGAGAGGCTGAAAGCTATGGTGCTCTTTAGCCTGGAAAAGCGCAGGCTCAGGAACAATCTGATGGCCACCTGTAAGTTTATCAGGGGTGTTCACCAGGATCTGGGGGAATGATTGTTCACCAGAGCGCCCCAAGGGATGACAAGGTCGAACAGTTATAAACTCCAGCAAGACCATTTCAGGCTGGACATAAGGAAGAATTCTTTACTGTCTGAGCCCCCAAGGTCTGGAATAGCCTGCCATCGGAGGTGGTTCAAGCACCGACATTGAACGCCTTCAAGAGAAATTTGGATGCTTATTTTGCTGGGATCCTATGACCCCAGCTGACTTCCTGCCCGTTGGGCAGGGAGCTGGACTCGATGATCTTCCAAGGTCCCTTCCAGCCCTAATGTCTATGAAATCTATAAAGCAACACCCCTCCAACCACCACCACCACTTGTTATTTGGTACTAAATGACAGCCTAGTTATTCCATTTACAGCTTTCAACACTTGTCAGCATTTATTTATGTGACTCCTTCTGGGTATCACTATGAAGTATGGCAGAAATACCCCTGCAACCCTTGATTGTACATAAGGACAGTTCAGACTGTAGAAAAACAAAATGAAAATCTTCTTGGAGTAATTTTCCACTACAGAAGTGTAACACATGATATAAAGGATGCTGCAGGAATGGAAATTCTTCAAACCTGGTACCGATCATGAATAAAACTGATTCCTTCAGTAACAGAACGGAGAAGATGCTTTGTTAAGCCATTTTTACAGCTTGTAAAAGCACAGAGAAGGTTGCTGATGACTGTTGGTTTTTCTGTAAGAGAAAACATGCAGATGAATCAGTTAAGCTCCAACAACATCCTATCAGAAATGAAATTAACATTAAAAAAGGAAGAAACAGGGAAAGAAGATTTAAATATAAGAGCAAAAATAAAGTCTAGCATGCTATGCTTTCCTTCTTATATAATGCTCTATATCACCCTCAGTATCTTGAGTGACAGTGAGGACAGTCATGAATGGAGCAGAACCAGAGCAGCGGGGCTTCATGCCAGTTCCATGGAAAGAAGATTCAAAACTTGTAAGGAACTCTATGGGCTATAACTAGGTCTCCCCTCCTCTGCTCTACCACCCCCACCAAGCAACTCTCTGGCATCTTCTTCAATCTTTTCCCCTCTGGAGATGCCTGGAGATTACTGTCAGGAAACAGCAATCCACATATAGCTGTAAGTGGAAAGACTGGCCTCTGTTACAGATAAGTTTCCAATAGAAGTATAAAGAGAGAGCGTATATTCTGCTATCAAATCTCCTGGTGGGGGAAGCTTTGCCCAAATTAGCTTTCAGCATGACCCTGACAAACAGCTTCCTTCCATTGCCTTCAAAGTTTTGCACATATGACTGAAGAGAGGATCTGGCCCCACTACTGGGTTTGAGTTAAATAGAATCCTGCTCATTCTCTCAGAGCCTGGATGGTTGCAAGGGGAAAAAAAAACAACTTCTAATCATAAAGAAAGAGGGCTGGAAGGGACCTCCACAGGTCATCTAGTCCAACCCTCTGCCGTAGGCAGGATCATCCCTACCCAAACCATGCTATACAAATCCATTATTTAACCTCTTAATAAAACTACACAGTCAGCCCTGAAATAAGACATCCATGTTTTGTTTGTTTTGTTATTCAGTCTTTATCTCTTAAATAGATAAGGGAAAAGGTGGAGAGTAAAAGATGGCACTGGGTTAATTTTTTTCTTCCCCTCAAATAGTCACTTTAAATTCAGGTTCAGTAAAATCCAGCCCAGCAAATTTCTGCAGCTAGGAGTTCCAGGCAACCCACAAAACAACAAGCAAGTCTCATCAAACCTTTATGTCTTGTATAAAGTTTTGCAAATTTCCCTTGATGCAGAAAATCTAATGTAAGCAAAGCACATAGCACAAAGGTCAAGATACTCGGACATAGTGCCTAAAACATTAGATTATCCACCCATATTTGAACCTTTAAAGCTCAGCACCTTTGGAAAAGCATTTTATAGTTGTCTTAACTTCTCTCCCATTGCAGCTAATGAGGGTATTACCAGGGAATTCACCTGAAGCAGAATAAGTCAACAACGAGCATTTCTGAAAATCTCTGGCTTACATACCCACTGAATATGCGGGTTTAGAAGCTAAAACATCAACTATCCACTTTCATGCCATGCTGTTGCATTAGGACTTCTGCATCAAAATATTTTCAGGTGCCTGCCTTTGCCTCCTTTTGAGGTGTCGGTGTTTGGCTCGAACTTGAGACCATCCAACTAGGCTCATTATGGCTGCACCAGGGTGCTCCGAGTACAGCTTTAACATTCCAGCAGTAAGATGGATCATGAAGCAAACAGTTGTTACTACAGCAACCAACCTGCAACAATTTTAAGTATGCTCAAAGCTGTTATCTGTACATTCTGTAGCAGTAAGACACTAGCAGGGCTTAAATGCTTCTGGAAAACCTGGCACATCTCAGAGACACTAAACAAAAAAAACACAGAAAAACAAAAATCAATAGAACAGCAATCATTTTTAGGACAACAGAATCAAAGAAAGGCTTGAACAAGCACTGCACGTGCTATTATAATCATCAGTGAGCTTCACTAATATTCCAGTTATTCCAATTTGACTTCCCGGGGTCTTATTCCTAGTTCATAACCCTGTGAACTCATCAGAATCCAGCCAAACAGGCAATACCAGCCACTTCCATATGTAACTAGAAAAGCAAGCAATTAAAAACTTATTTTTGGCCATAGCATGAAAATGGATAGTTGCATATACAGTAGAGTTCAATACAACTATTCTTAGCCTTGGTTTCAGAGTCACTGAAGATTCAGGTCCCATTGATTTGATGGAAGCAACAGGGTACTGAGCCCCTTTTGAAAACCAGGCCTTGACAGTGATGGGGGTGGGAGGAGGGGGAAAGCTAACTTCTTAATTATTTACCTTTGATCATTTAGTGGGCCTTGTTGCCAATATTCAGTCAAGCCAATCAGTCTCTGGGCATATTTTTCATAAGATGATAGTTGTTTGAACGTCCATTTAAGACCATGCATCAGCCTCTGTGCACTCTTTTGTAGCTGGTCTGCATCAGCTACACCAGTGATTCCATTAACAAAGGGCCCCAACAATGTTTTGACCAAGGTTCTTGTTGAATTCACCTGCTGGTTATTATTTAAATGCAGCAACTCCATCCAGGGAATTTCATTTAATGAGCCCTCAATAGCAGTTTTCCAGCTGGATTGTTCTTTCTGAAGGTACCTTATATTTTGGTTGATAAGGCTGGCAAAAAATGACCTCAGGCTGAAGTGTCTTTCAGAAACATTATTTGTTAAATTGAACAATTGCATAATGATTTCCATAACTCTCAGAAAGTCATCTTGGTTGTTCGCATAAGTCAGCAGCAGATTTAAGTCATTTTCATTTAACTTATTTTCCCAGAACCCCCCCAGGAACAGATCAGCCACAGCTCTGATGAAAGCCTTTATGGATGTGCATTTTTTTGTGTGAAAATTAGCAATCATTTCCTGAATTTCACCCCATTTTTCTTCTTGTGTTGGATTGCGAGTAAGATTTAGTGTACTAGCTAAAGCTATTTTGCTAGTAATAGCATTTATTGGTACAAAAATACAAAGAAGATACTCTATTAGGCTGACAGTCTCATTAGGTGAGTTTATATTTGCACTGGTAACAACTGTAACAAGTCTTTCTAGTACCCAAGAATAATTCTGCACATCTGCTAGAAATGAAGCAATTTCACCTACAATATTGTTTAATTCACTGGCTTTGCCCAGATTTGCAGGCAATCTGGTGGATGTGTTTACAGTCTCAGAGCCATTTGAACTGGAATGATCAACCTGAATAGACAAGTAGGTCAAATCAAGAAATGCTTTCACCAAATCTGCCAAACCTTTTTCATTTGAATAGACAGCTTCTGCAGTCTCACTTGTAGTTAACTCATTCACTGCATCACAAACAGCTCTTTGAAGAACTGGATAGAACACATGGAGGTAGTCTAAGTTTCCTGTAGTGTCTGAGTCAGAAGGTTGTTCAAAAATGGTAACAATCTTTTCTGAAGCTTTCTTGGACCATGCCAGAAATTTAGCAATAGCTTCTACTACTTCTGTTACCTTTGCAAACTCATCACTTTCCTGCAGCAAAGTGCTCAAATAATCAGCAGTCTCTGAAAATGGTCCATGAGTGTAGTTAGTGCTACTGCTCCATGAAATAAGATAAAGTAATCTTTTTGTAGCTTCTATTACCTCTCTATTTTTCAAAGGAAATGCCTTGTCTAAAGAGATTAACAGTTCTGCTAAACTGACAAGGTCCATTTCCCAGAAAGGAAAATAGAAATCTGGGAAATCTTTAGAGTGATTACTCATGAAAATATCCACTCTCTTTCCCATTTCTGCAAAAGTTTGCCTCATAATTCGGAGAGCCGTGGAAAGATCTCTAGTCATCTTAACAAGTTTCCATGAATTATTTGCATTACACAAATTATTCATAAAATGAAACAGTTCATAGTCATCTTGGGTGCCATTTTTTTCAGCAGACTCTCCAAATAGGACATTAAACAAATCCTTCACAAACTTGAGTCCTTTTGCACTATCAAAGTGAAGTGTCTCGTCCTCTGATATGGCTTTGAGTGGGTCATACAGATGTTCTTTAAAACTAGAATAAATTATATTTTCCTTCAATCCATCAACTTCTTCCTGTAGCTTGATCAACCAATCCAAATTCAGAAGAGCTAATATCTTATCTCGGGGAAATATACTGCAACAGAAATATTGTTTAGTGTTTATTAGGGTGGCAGGAATAATTCTGAATGTAGATTGAAAATTTTCATTAATGTCTAAAGATATTTTGCTGCATATTGCTTAAAGAAATACTACAAATACACTATAAAATGATATGGTCTGACAATAGATGTTGATCACTCAAAGGGACACACTGCTTAGCCATTCAGCCAGTGGTGTAATAGGATGGGGTGACTGGGCAACTGCCCCAAGAGCTGATGTTCTGGGTTTGTGGGGGAGGGTGGTTGAAAAAGCTGCCACTAGCAGCCACGCAATCATGCAACTCAGTGGCAACCAAAACATCACTACTGACCTGTGCCTCAGGCGTCCGGCCACGCCGCTGGCGTGCTATATTCAGTGATAATGCCACAATAATACATAACTGGCTCCTCAACAACATCAGAAAAAAATCCTATGCCCAGTGTGTTATAAAGGAGTCGAGAAAATACGGGCAAGTACTATCACCTAAGATTTTCAAATACTACATCATTCAATGACTGCATGCGTGGGTAGACATTCATAAACTGAGGAGCTCCAAGATTTATACTAGCTTCACTTCATTGAAGTCAACAACCAAACTGCCATTCCACAAGTAAAATCACTGAGGTTACACCACCAGAAACCAGGAATAGAAGAATAAAAGAAGTTTGTGTGTAGTGTAAAAATATAATACTTCCAAAACTAAATTGCTACTAAGAAGTTAAATCGCTAGTATCCAAAACTTCAAACTTGGTGAATAAGTAGTCATAGAAGAACAAATTAGTTTTAACCAGAAGAAATAATTGCAATCATTTTAAAAATCCAAACATTTAAAATGGTATATTTTCTAGGTTTTTTACTAAGAAATCAAGAAATTCAAATGTTTAAATGTTCTACCTTTTAGTTATATTGTCCATAGCAGAATTTACTGTTCTTATCTTTGCACACAAGATTAATAAACCAATTAATAGACACTTACCTCATTTCTGCCATTATATCCCTGTGCAAGTCTTTTAGTAAGACAATTATTTTGTTCCTGTAATATTCTGCAGAAGATGGAAAAAATATCTGCAGTAACACTTTTACCGTTTCCATTATCCTACTTTGGAATGGAGCAGTATTTTTTCTATAGTTTTCATATTGTGTATTGTTAAAAAACAAATCAATGAAATCCTCTATTTGAAGGTCTCTAGAATTTAAGTGCATTATCTCTTCTTCAGTAACAAAGTCAGAGATCATATTAAGCATACTGTTCTGTAAAATCAAATGAGCAACATGAACATTATTGAGCTTTTCTTCATTAAGAAGATCAGTAACAAATGAAATATTGAAATAATCTCTAGAACCATTCTGGAAGACCTCCAAAAAGTCAATGATGTCTTTGATAATTGCAATGAGATCATCTGATGAGTTTTCATTAGCCATGAGGAGAACTAGTGCATTTATTATTCTAGAATAATTTTTATGAGTGTACTCATTCAGCCAGTCTCTCTCAATCTCTCGAAGTCCCTCAAAAATTGTTATTGTGGTTTCCAGAGATGACAAATTAAACCATTTAATGAAACTACCAAGTGCCAGTGAAGAGTTTTGTCCTGCTGCTGTACTTAGTAGTCGAACTTCTTTTTTTATCACAGAGAGCAGGTGGCTGACATCAAAATTCACCAGTAAATCCCATATGCTTTTCTCTGTATCAAGCCAGAGGGCCTCAAAGTTATCAAACAGACTACTGTTCCTACTTAAAGTTGCTAATGCCATGAATACCATGTAAGTTTGGTTTCCAACTGGAGAGAGTGCCATTAAAGGCTGGGCTGCAGAAAGAAAGGAGAGGACATCCTCAGAATCTAGCATTCCAGAAATATCATTGGCCATGGTTTTTAAATTAGTAAGAATAGTGTTTATAACTGATGTTCCTGCACTTCCATTCAAGCGTAGAAGGCTATGCAGATCTGCTAACTGGTCAGAGACAGCTCTGGCCCTCCCGATGTCTGCTGTTGTCATATTGTTCACTACTTCTATGAGTTGCAAAGCAGCTTGCCTTTTTGGTGTGCATGGGCAACGAATTGAATGAACACTACTGTTTCCTGAAGACATAAGAGAGACTGACAGATCATCCCAAAACTCCTCTAAATCCATCAGAACTTCATCATCCAGATGGTGGATCTCAGAAAACTTCAAAAAAAAGGAGTTCCACTCCTTGAGCTGATAGAAAAAGCAAGTCATGTTGGAAGAGGCCTCTCTCAGCAGATCTTCATTAGAGCATAGAGAATTTCCTGCAGGAGCTGTCAATTGCAGTAGCTCAAATGCATTAGTGACCATGTTGTAAACAAAGGAAGAATCTAAGTTACAAGGCTTCAAAGCAGGATCAGCCAACAGGTTGGTTGTTGTGAGATTCCAGCAGGCAACTGTGCTGAGACAACTCAAGGCCTTTGCAGATTCATCAGGCATATTTGTTACTAGCTCCAGTAACTTTAGGAGGCCATTTGCTTTACTAAATAAATCTTCCTTGGCACATATTGACATATTTGTTTCCTGACTCAACATGAAAGTAAATACTTCAATTACGGCATCAGTGATGTTGCTGTTGTGAGGTAACTGCTCTAGAAGACTGAAGACATCAGGAAGAAGGTAAAGTGCCTCTACAAAATCATCATGCTCAGCTTGAAACAATTCTAAGACAGGCAATATATTTGTCAAGTTCCAAAAATGTGAATTGTTCTCAAGCATATGTAACCAGCCTGTCAATGTTCCCAAAACAGGATTCTCAACCTTCAAAGCTTTAATATTTGTAAAGAATTTGTGCAGGCTCTTAGAGGCCTGTTCTAGCAGATTTGTTAAGAATTCTAGATCTGTATTCTCAAGGGTTTGCATAAAATTTTCCATATGCTTTAGAAATTTGTTATCACCTACTATTATTGGAAAATTGGTAATGCTAAAAGACTTTAAAAACGTTAATGCTTTCCCAACCAGTTCAACATCCATAGCTGCTGCATTCATCAACATCTGCAGAGGTATGTTTTGCATATTATGTGACAAGTTTGATGCAATGTAAGTTATTAGATGTTCAAAGGATTCCATTAGCAAGCTTATATTTTTGTCTTGGGGGATCGCTTCTAATGCATTTAGGAGCTGTACAATGTCCACAAGAGATGTGCTGTTTCGTAGGCTTGCAGCAGTTCGGTTGTTCAGAAAAATCCAAATTCTTTTCCAGTGGGCTACTGAAGAAGGCTGGTGACTATGAAAGAAATTAGGGACTTCACTTGAATTCTCAGTGGCTCCAGTGATTAGTTTAGTGAAATATGTCTGTTTCAAGTCAGATGTGTATTGCGAGTACTTCATTAAGTGTTTAACAATTGCTTCTATTTGGCCCCCTGAGCTATTTAATAGCTTAAAGATAAAGTCAAGTGTATGGGCATCACCTTTAACATAAGATGTTGGCTGGGTGAATTTTAAAATTTTTTCTATAATGTTGAAATAAATATTCATACAATGTGCATCAGAACCATTCTGTAAACACAGAGAATCTTCCAAATTAAAATAAGCCATGTTAATAATATCCAGGATATTCTCTAGACTATAATCCATATCATCAAGGCTTCCCAGAGACAACAACAGAAATAAAACATGGCTTGTGTTTTCAAGGTTGGAAGGGAAGATTAATTTCTCACTGAGGTTACTGATAATATCTATCCACTCATTACAACCCTTTACTCCATTCAGGATATTACCAATGGTTAGAAGGTAATCAGGATGAAACCAGAAAGGTATTTGTGAAATATTTTTGGCTGTCAAATCTAACTCTGTCACATTCTGGAGAATGTTGGCACAAGCCAGTAGGTAACGATCTTGAGATATGTTTTTAAGGAATCCAGCAGTCTCTTTTAGCTCTGTGAGAACAATGACCAGCTCTTCTGTAGAAAGCTTTAGGATACTTGAAAGTGAATGCCCAATGGAATAAAGGTTTGTCTTCTTATATTCCACTTCAGAACTCAGTGGAGCAAAAATGCCAGCCCAGAAATCTAAAAACTCCCTGCTAAAAGTCTTCAGCAGAGATTTCTGTAATTCTGTGATCACTGTTTCCATTGTTTGGAAAGCTTCCTCCAGACTTTCCCTTGTAAGGTTGCTGGTGATATCAATTGCAATCTTAAGTGCACTTATAAGATCATCGAAGGCATCAAAATCTTCCCAGTTGTTCAATTTCCCAGCTCCTGTTATGATGCCTAGTAGATTCAATGCAGATGTAGTTTCAGGACTAACTACAAATGTCACATTGCATGGTTCAGCATGGGTTATATTTTCAAGCCCTTCAGAAATCTGGGTCAGGCCGTTTTGTAGGTATGTGATAAAATTTAAATCCAGTGTTAACATTTCAGAAGCTTGTTGAAGAATCTCTGTCCACATCTGAAGCCAGGTAGTGGTGCAATGCATGGCAAAAGGCACAGATACCCCAAAGTCTGTTGAATTGGACAGAATGCTGACCAGTGGAAGAAAAAGTGAGCTGTAACTCTTTACTAAAGGTTCCTCAGAAGGAATGCCAAGAACATAAAAATCAGTACATTCATTATTTAACAGGCTTTCTGGTGGAATGTCAAAAAGTTGTTCTAAGTATTGAAAGGCAACTGTACGTAGCTCTTTTTCTATAAACATAGCTTTAAGGCTCCCCAGAGTTTTATATACAACTTGTACCTCTTGTTCCCCTTTCTGTGCAAGGGACTGGGCCTGGAGGATGAAGTAGTTGTAAACTCTTGCTAACTTTTCACAGAGAGGCTTCTGAGTAAGACCATTAAGAAGTGTTATAATTTCAGATAGAAAGTCAAAAACCACACTCATGTTTTGGAAAGCAAGCTGTATTCGAGTAGATGAAATGTCTTTTGAAGTTTTGTGGAAGAAAGATAACAAAGAGCTATTGCTCTGGATTCTTAAGAATTGATCAATGTTTTGATATACAGTGGAAAGCATCTCAACAAGTGAGGCAGCTTTACTATCCACTATCCTGGGGATGTTTTGGTAGAAATCAGACACAATTTTCCCTGTGTCTTGTACTTTAGATACAGCAGTTCCACTGGAGAGTAGAATACAAGACAGATTTCTCATTTTGTCCATGGTACTAAGAGCTGTACTGACATGTTCTTGGGTCAATAACCCAACCTCATACAGACTCCTTATGAAGTTTTCACAGAAATTATTTACAACCTTTATGTCACCAACATTCCATTGAGGCCAATGTGTGCGGATATTTTGGAAAAACCGAAGGCTTTTATTAAGGACTTTCTGATTTTCTGGAACAGAGAACACAATTTTAGATAAGAAGTTCTCCAAGTTCTCTACTTCTCCAGTTGAACTTGTACTCATCAAGAGGTGTAGTAGTTTAGGATCAAGCTCATATAAGACCATTTCCACCGTTTCCCAAAATACTGCAGCCTGCTCATTTGGCCAGAGCCTTGAAACAAGTTGAAAATTCTCTAGTAGCTTTTTACTGAGGTCAGAAAATGAATAAAAATCCACAGCAGACTCATTTGTCTCCACACTGGCAAAACCGTTAATCCATGTAATAGCATTATTCAACACTGTGTCTAGGAGGGATTGGGTGTCTTGAAGGCTTGAAGAAGACAAAGAACCAGGCATCAAATTTTCTTGTACAAATTCTGCAAGGCGCAAGCTGTTAACTATGTCTCCTTTCTCTTCAGGAATTTGTAAGTTTTCTTCACTTGTCAGAAGCTGTTTGACAGATGTCAAAATCCTGAAATATTAAATCAAGATTTTTCATGTGAGTTACCTGCAGTTAATATACACCTTAACATGAAGCATATGTAAACATTGTATTTCTTCTAGAATGCATTGCATTCATATCTTAAAATCAAGAGGACATTTAAAAACCACTAAAATAATGTTTATAATGTTATCTTTTAAACACCAAAATAAAAATACATTACCAGGGAGTTGCATCATTTTTAAAACACACACAAAGTCAATGACTAGGAATGTTTCAACCACACAAGTCAATGAAGTAGAGTTGAACTTAGGTAGATGATTAGGGACACAGATATCTATTGAGCAAGAGGATAGAGCCGTGAAAGCTATGCAAGCCAAGTCTCTGCCTCAATGACCTTTCATGTTCTGCTGAAACCAGCAGAATCTTTAAGATCCACAGAGTAAGTAGCTTTAAAGGAATTAGAACAGGCCATAGATATTTTATTCCCATTAAACATTGAAGAAAATGAAAAACTTCTAGGTTTCTGTAAAGAATTGAAAATCAAATGCAAGTTTCTAACAACTCACCCCTAAAAAGTTGTTGCCTTCTCAAACAAAACCCAAGAAAATGCCACTGAAAACAGAAATGTTGTCATGACAAAATTCCTTTGCAAAAATATTTGCAAAAATGCAAATATTTGCATTTTTGTTGCAAATATTTTACCTAAAGATTTCAACCAGTTTTATACAGAACTTCGGCTAAGAATGGGTAGACTTGGGACACACAAATTAAGGAAGAGTAGGATCAGTAGGTCTCAACCAAAAATAGCTCTAACTCACTAAACTAATTCGGTGAAGAAAGCCAACAGAAATCATTTTTCTTAATTTTTGCATTGATGACTTTTAAAGCAGGAAAACTGAGAAGCTAAGCATTGAAAAAAATACTCCAGAAGTTAATGACTGTTTCCATTATGTGGTCTCCACCACAGGATTTTGCACAAAGTCTATGTAACGTTTATCTTTGTTTTTCTTGTTAAAAAAGACTCCATTTATTTTGTTATTATTATGTAACATTGTGTAGCAGCAACAACATGTTTAGTGCTCTTATAGATTAGAGTAGAGGCTGGATACCTGTTCCTGGAGATCTTTTATTCTAAAATCAACACAGAGAAAAGGTGAAGAAGGAATGTGAGGAGAGAGCCAAGATAAAACAGAAAATGTGTAATTGAACACACAGGTCTGTTAGTTCCACTGTGCTTGTATACTGACATTTTCCTTTCATTGTCCTCATTTCCATTTAATAAAACTGTATATTTCACGCAAATTTTCAGCTTTCAGAACTGAATGAGGAATTATTCATTCCTGGTGCCCACTTCATCAAAACCATCAAAGGTTGAATAGTACAAGGACTTTGATCCAAGGTATTTTTTGTCTATATTGCTCAATATGACCAAAAGTTCAGAACATGGGAATTTTTAGGAACTCTGTTACAAATCCAATCCTGAACTTGCTTTACCTAGATTTTCATCCAGCTGGATGAGTTCATTTGTTCCTATGTAACTAGCAGATGAGTAGCTCACGCTCCAAATGAAGTAGAAAAACTCTTATTGACGTCAATAGGAAAATAATTCAGGTCTCCTATGAAAAGTACAACAGATGGCCGTATCATACCTTTAAGAACTCAACAATTAAGTCATTGGAGACTTCTGCTTAAATGTGAAGGGTAGCGCACAGCCCACAACACCAGCAACTGGGTTCAATTGCAGAACAGAAGAAATTTAAAATTGGAGATTAAAAAGAACTTTCTGACTACAAGGGTGGTTAAGCACTGGAACAGGCAAGAAGTTGTGGAACCTCCATCCCTGGAAATTTGAAAAGCAAGTTGAACAGACACTTAGCTGGGATAGTTTAGTTAGCTTAGATCCTGCCCTGAGCAGAAAGTTGGATTAGATGACCTTCTAGCCCTACATTCCCACAATTCTGTGAAGAGCTGTAAATTACAGAACTAGATTATAAAGGGCCCATCTTTTACAGATTTACAACAATTCTTTCCATTTCACAGGTGACATGACTGATTACTTTAGCAGACACAGAGAATAAGGAAGCAGTATAATGTGAAATCTTGGAAGTGCAATTTAAAAAACACTTTTCTACAACAGCTAATTACTGTGACTAGATTTGCCAACAACACTAGGTGTGTCCATTTACATTTTCTTTTCACAGCTAAGGACCTTGTTACACATTGTACTTTGAGCAGCTCACATGTTGATCAATGTTAGTGCCAGCTTGAGTTTGGAGCAGGCACACCTAAAGGCTAAAAACCTTCTCTGACTTTCCTCTACTTGCTCAACTGTGACTTGCCACTAGGGGGCTAGTGAGCAGGGGCCCTGACTTAGAGCTACAGCTTTAAGTTGCCACTACCAGAACAAGCTTCTATCCCTGCTCTGAAGTCAGTGCCGGATTTAGATATAAACTAAGTAAGCTTCAGTTTAGGGCCTCACATTATGAGGGACCTCTAAACCAGCCCCCAGGCTGCAAAGGGTCAGCTGCTAGCCACAAACCACAGCCCCACAGAGTCGGTCAGAGAGGCTGCGATTCCTTCCTCAGGACCCGCAGCAGCCATGGTTGAGGTTTGGGCCCACCCAGGGGCTGGAAGTATCTGTACTTGTGTTGCAGCCAGAAATTCCGGCCGCAGGGTTCCGCATGGCAGTCTGAGTTTGCCGGGCCGCAGTCGCTTCCAGTCCAGTTTGCTGGGCCACAGCATAGAAAAGTTGGGAACCTGTAGTTCAGGGCCCCAGTATGCCATAATCTGTCCCTGTCTAGGGAGGAAGGTGTGAGAGATGGGTTGGGGAGGGGGCAAGCCTGGAACATGAAAGCTGGGAGGTGGAGAGTTAGTGGAATGGGGGTGGGTAATGAAATGTAAGGTAGAAAGTAAATGGCGGTATGGGAAGCGTGGTGAAATAAAAGAAGTCATACACTGAAGAATAAAATAAAAATAAGTAAAAAAGAATTTAAAAAGCAATAAAGGAGGAAGTAAATTAAAGAAGGCCTCATGTTTTAATAAATTGGGATTTGGAATTGGGATGTGGGGAATGCTGGTCATGCTTCCCAGGATGGCTGGGAGATGGGAGTGGTGAGGGAAGAAGCTTTTGGAGAAACCCCTGCCCCTGTCCCAAGAAAGAAGCCCAGCTCAATGAGGACCCTATCCAGTCCCTTACCTTGACCCCGTCCTACCCCCCTGGATATCACTTCTGGACCTGTCCATGTCCAAAAACCTGGCTGGCTGGCATGTGGTCTGCAGGCTATTTACAGAGATGCACCTTTGGGCAGAAAGTGTTTGAATGTGAGCAACAAAGATATAACTCCCTGTAATCTTGAAAGTTTGATCACAAAAGAAACATTTGCCAAAAATGAGCAAAATAATCTTACTCAAGGCTACAGAAGTCTAAAATGGAAAAACAAACAAAAAACATGGTTTAAAAGAGTTTGCAAAAAACAGTTGAGTGAAGAATTTAAACTGAATTACCTTGCCCATGAAGCAAATGGGGAATTTGATAAGTTTTTCAGAAATGCTAAATAATTTTCAATTAAAGCCTTAAAATTGAGATTGTTTCCAGTACACAGGGATGATCCAAAATAATCTGCAGAAAAAAGGTGATATGTCAATACGCTCAGCAAAGACTCTGTAACTCTCCCAGGGGTCATTTGAATAGATTCTCACTGGATTTGGATCCAGCTGGAGTTGGATCAAAAGAGAAATTACAACATTCTACAATTTTTCCCAGAGAAATTAATGAAGTATATGTTAGTAAAGGATTTAGATACCAAAAAGAACAAGCTAGAGAATCTTCCTAATATTTTTCATTCAGACTGATCCTTTCAGTTTAGTTTCAACAAAATATCTGAGACAAATGTCTCATCAAGGAAGTTTTAACAGCAAGGTCAAGCTGTGAGGGTTTGCTGAAATAAGTGAAACAAAGGTGCCCATAATGTTTTAAAGCAACCTCTACTGCTCTGAGAAGTTTTGTCTTGAGAAATACACAGAGAACCAGGAAATGCAGAGACTTTGTTTCCTCACCTGACTGACCTCTTCTGAAGCCTTCTGCCTCATTCACAAATTGAGCTATGCCACACATTGTCCTGACAGCTGTTGTTACGTCCTTCCAGTGTGGGATCTCCTCAAAACCAAACCATACTTCTTCAAGTGTACGAATAACTCTGAAAGGATCAAGGACCCAAAAAGCAGGTATTTTATCATAGATCAGGCCAGTAATTTTCTAAATAAAAACATGGGGTCCACATGCAGCTGCTGCCTTGTCAATTTGCAGCTAAATCTTCCAGTTCCTTTACTTGTGTGGGGAGCCCTATTGATTTCAAAGTAAGCAGGGCTCTTGACTAGGTACTTCTTCCTTTAATATCAGTGGCAAAACACTCCCCAGTGGCAACATAAGCAGAGTTGCACTGCATGCAGCTTTGGCTACTAGTGCTACATATTGGTCAAGTAGAGCAAAAGTTCTATGAATTCATTAAAAAAAATAGAGTTGACAAGAAGCTTAAAGTCTAAAAGTAACGTTCTGCAAATCATCCGAATGCCTATTTTGTATTAATAATTCACTGCTTACTCAAAACAATAGCAAACTTTCTTAGATGTCCTGCACAAAAACAGTACCTTGAATTTATATGCTGCCTTTACTGGTTCTACCATGCTAGTCAAGTGCTATTCCCAAGGGTGTTTTATCATCTGCCCTGCTAGTGCTCAAAAAAGGGAAGCAAACAAAGCAGTCCTGCCAAGTTCAAATTCACTTAGAAATAGGTCAGGGAGAAAAATCCACTTTTGACTGACGGGGAAAAAAAGGACCCAAAACCCCCGGATAATAAAAAATAGAAACTAAATTATCTAACCTTTAATATGGCTCTACAAGTCACACGCTTGGTTCTACTCTTGCATAAACTGATGCCATTTTTGGCTGCAACTTTGATGGGAGATGATTCAAGCCTACTGGCAAGTCTGAAAACAAACCAAGCTTACTATATACAGTGGCTTCATGCCACAAAACTTGTGCACAAGGTTACTCATGTTCATAAATGTAATCCCACAACTGTAATCACATGTGAGATGCTGCTGTTGTAACTGCATCTTTGTAGGCCTGAACTCTAAGAAAACGCCTGAAAGCATCTGCTGACTGTAAATCTAACTTTACATTAACCGCATTTTGCCTATGATTTATTTTTTGAGGGGAAAAACAACAACATTTCATTATATTTAAGAAAATTTTATTGCTACCACGCTTAGTGTGCTTATCTCGTTTACACAGATCTCACTTTGGCTTAACTCCTTTGACTTCACTGAAGTTACTCCTCAATTTAGAATGGGGTCAGGCAGGAAGCAAAATCAGGCCCCTTACATCTAAAAGCCATTTGTGATGCTTACAATGAGAGGAGCAGCTGCTCCTGACAAGAGCTGAAATAGACATCCTCTCCAGATGGTGCCTTTGTGCTCAGCAGCTGATTAATTTTACAGTAAGAAGCACTATTTTCAGCGAGCTGCTGTTCTATTTCTTGCCATCCCAAAAACTCTTCCATTATTGAATCTGGCAGGCTCTGTTGTCCATGAATTACTTTCTGCAGAAGTAAGACCTTTGGGGGAAAAAAGGCAACAATTTATAAACAGCAAAAGGAAAGAGTCTTTGATACTTGGGTCCTCTCTCTTAGACTAATATAACTCTATTGACTCCACTGGCATTATTCCTGGTTTACATAGGTTTAATCAAGATGAGAAAGAGAACCTCAAGTCCTTTTGTTTTTCTGGAAGTAGCATAGGCAAACTGGCACCTATACACAAAATACACATCTGGTCTGTATATGTATTGCCATAAGTTTCTTTTAACTGGTTTGATTTACTGAAGTGCCATACTATTCAGAGTCACTGTCACAGTTTATTTAATTATGTGATAACCATTCAGTTAAGGTGTTAACTTTGGGTGTTAAATGTATCAAAAAAAGACACACACAAAATACTTACAGATTCCTTTATTGACTGGATTTGACTGCTTAACTTAAAAGCCTCATTTGAATTGTTGTAATGGCACACAAATCTTGCTAGAACATCTATGACTTCAGAGTTTGGAGGAAGCTGAAGGGCCTTCTCAAATACTGTAAGCAAATCCTCGCATATATAGGAAGCATTACTCATCAATGTCTAAAATGTAATTAATATACTGTCAAAATGTAATGTGTGAAAAAATGGACTTAAATTCATTCTGAGAGACCATTTTCACACTAAGGGATATAAACACTAGAGTGAATAAACACAAACCAACCATAAAAAGCAGTATGGTGACCCAGTTTATTTGACACACACAACTGTTATAAGGGACAGGTTATTTATTGTTTTTAAAATATGACTTACCTGCTTTAACTCCCAAAAGAGTATTTCAATGTCCAGATGCACTACTCCATCTTCTTGAAGAAAGGGGAGCACTTTTTCCAAGTGATGTAAAAATTCTGTAAAACATGTATCCTTTATTTCTTTTTTTCTCAGGTACAGAAAATATTTGGGACTCCAAATTATTTGGTTTGGTCTGAATGGAAGAACTGGCTTCTGGACAATTAGACCGCAAAGAATATGGTTCAATCTACACGTAATACCTATCAATAGGCTCTCAGTTATGTTTTTGGGTACGGGGTGAGACCAATCCTTTTATCCGAGGGCTCATGTACCACTGCCCTCTGCACTCACAAAAAAGTCCAGACTGTTCTTGTCTAGCATCTACCGTGCAAGAATCCTCACCACAACAGGTAGAAAGGGAATGAGTCGAAGAGTCATCCCCATAACCCTTGCCAGCACTACTGTCCCTGTGAGCAAGGATATGCACATCCTCCTCTTTAAGGGTGTGATACCCATGCTCCTTTGGTGCTCTGTAAAGCACCATGCACAATGCCTGCACAGACAACGTAACTCTTCCACCTCTATGCCAGCTACAGTTTTAGATCTACATTTCCCAGGGGTCCTCTAACAGGGAGTGATTTTGGTCCTATGATCACCCATGCTGTTCAGAAATGGATCCAGCATTTTGCAAAGGGAGGTGTGGTAGCAGTGGACTGGCATCACTGGAGTGGCTGCTCCCTCTCCCCTCTGGGACAGGCAGACCATGCCAGAGAAGCACCAGCTGGGAACTTTAAGTCCTCAAAGCAGGTAAGAATTCCCCACCCCTCGCCTTTCACCTCTCCACTCAGAGAGGCATCCTTTCCCTCCCCACCCTTTGTCCCCTTTCCCCCACCTGCTGCTGACACTGTCCTGGGGGTGAAGGGACCTCCAGAACTCCTTCAGCCAGGCTGCACAAAGCCAGGCTTGACCCATAATAATAGCAGCAGCAAAAGGAAGGAAGGCAGGTTCCCCCCTGGCCATGCCTGCTTCTGGTCAGGTATGAAATACCCAAGGGGACAAGGCAGGAGACAGAACTTATCTGCCTCCACCACTGCTGCTGCTGCTGTCCCAGGCAGAGCCCAGCCCCTACAGTGGTGGGTTGGAGCAGACCTGGAGCTCCTCTCACCCTGCCCCCAGGACAGCAAGGACTGTGGCAGTGGCAGGCAGGGGAGGGAAGAATAGAAGGGAAGGGGAGGGAAGAGAGCAGAGGGGACATGCCTCTGAGAATGGAGAGGAAAGGAGAACGGAGAATTTGTACCTTCTTTAGTGACTTGAAATCCCCAGCTTCTGCTCCTACTGTACATTCAGAAAGGGGGGGGGGGTGACTGAGTCATTGAACCACCCTGAATCCCTCCCTGCACATGTGTTCAGAATGCATAGTCAATACAACCAGTTATCCAATTGTAGCAAAACCCCCAGTCTTTCTTTTTTTTTCTTTTAAAATGCATCCCTTGCCCTTCCCCAACCATTTCTGACTTTTTCTCTCCCTCTCTATTCCCTATAGATAAGTATAAGTGCACTAAGACATAAGATAAGTTTCAGCATTTTATTTTGGTAGCAAGTTGTATTTGTTTTGTTTTTCTCCTCCTTTATATTGTATAATTGTTATGTTTATATTGATTTTTACTGTTCTATATTACTGTTTTACTGATACTATATGATTTAGGCCTACATATGGAAGTTAGCATAAGTCATGTCAAGTTTCCATTTTGTTCGTCAAGTCTCCATCTTGTCCACATGCCCTGTTGTGTAAGTATGTTGTAACCTATGACTCATACCTACCCCTCCTATGTAACTTGGTTCCTGAATGAAGGGGGATAAATGAGAGTGGGCCAACACCCCAGCCATTGGAACCACCCTCAGCATTCAAGAAACAGAAGATGAAGCGACCCACCATTGTGCCAAGGCTGCACATGCTCAGTAAGAACACCTGGAACCCTCTGGAACAGGACTGACATTGCCTGGACAGGCCCTCCCCATAGGAGATCAGAGGTAGTCTGCCTCATAAAAAGGGGTAGTGAAGACTGACTCCTTGGGACTCCTTCTCCATCTACACCAGCACCATGCCACACCACCTATCCACCCAGAGGCCCTGCTGGCGACCCCGCTCTGGACAACACCTACTGGACAAGGACCCCTTTCCAGCCTGGATAGGTAGCTATCACCCCCACCCTCTCTTCAACCAAGGACTTGGACTCTGCTTCTCTTCCTTACCTGGACTCCAGCCCTTCCACTGAGTCTCTTTCTCCTGCTGCCATTGTGAGTACATAGTATGTGAGTACATAGTACATACCCACACACATACGTACGTACATACGTACGTGTGTGTGTGTGTGTGTGTACGTACATACCAAACACACATACCAATAACTTCATGGGGTTGTGTAGTGTGTTCTCTGTTTAATAAACCTGTTATTTTGAAACCATGAGTTGGATTTTTGTCTGTTTCCCGACCGTTTCCTCCTTGCCACCACTTATCTGCCCCCAAGCTCCCAGCTGTCTGCCTCTCTCTCTTTCCGGCTGTCTCTTCCTTGCCACTGGGCTTTTTCCCTTGCACCAGTGACCTTGAGTAATACTGGGGCCACTTGACCTTAAGTAACCCCAGCCTCAGCCCAGCTTCTCTCTAGTCTAACGGTTCTAATCCCAGTTCTGGTAACTTTCATTCCTTACACTTTCTCTCTCACCTTAACCTTCCCCCAGGTATCCCAAGTACCCCAAACACACACATACATACCATACCATCCAAGTTAGGAACTCACCTGTGTGTATGTGTAGGTGGGTGGTTTGTGTGTGAACTGATGAATATACATATATTACATTATGTACATGATATATAAGTTAGTGATCTGTGTATGTGTACTGAGTGTGTGGGTATTGACAACTGACTGTTGTCTAATTTTCAGTGTGTATAGTGTGTATGTGCTTAGACTGGTAATTTTGGATATGTGTGCGTGCCTGAGTTGGTAGTGTGTGGGTGTATGCACCTAGTGTGTGTGTGTGTGTGTGTGTGTGTGTGTGTGTATACCTAATTGATTTGAGTGTGTGCATGTGCAATTGTACACCATGCACGCCCTCCTGCCTAACAGTGTTATGTTGAGATCCCAAGCGTTGGCCTGACCCCACAGGGCAACACAATAAGGAAGAGACGACAAAATATGTTGTGCTTACACCCATCCCTAATCAGATCCATATCCAGATCTATACTTCTGCACACAGGCCCTTAAACCAGGGCTCTGCTTCCATTACGGATATGGGCCAGCCACAAATCTTGAAACTAGACCTAGAACTAAATGCAAAACTTCAAGAAATTTAACAGTTATTTGGAGCTGAAAATCTGGTTCAGGTCAATCTTTGTAAAAGACTACATTTATTTTATAAAACTAAAATGGTTATCATTTTCATCAATTAAATCTTTGAGGGTAGGGGAAGAAAAGTAGGCATCATCAGACAGGCATCAGTTCACCAAAAGGAAAGCAGATTACCAACAGAGTGGTAGGGCAACTTATCTGCTGAACATATGGAGTAGAAAAGTGTCATAAGTGATGATAAAACACAATGCAACAGAACAAAATTTGACAAACACTAGAGACATGGTACATATCCGAAACATGGTATATGCCTTATATAGTCTCAATGCTTTCCCGGTATGCTATCGATCAATGCTACAGCAGTCATTTGGGAACTTGCAACTAGTAACCACAGAATATTTTTACCTTTAGTGAAATATAAATTCTGAGTTATTATATTCCTCAAAGCTCCATCTACCAGAATCAGCCTCTTCATAAGAGACCATTGAGGCAAATTTTCAGTCAGAGTCTGTAGTTTCTCCACATGCAGAATACTGTAGACAAAAGAATGAGGATTTTTCTGTAGGTTTTTTTTGTATCAGCAACAAAATATGGGTTCCTACAAAATTACCTTACATATGTTGTACATTCACAATATCATTTGTTTTATTATTTGTTATACCAACAGCGTGGGAGAGTCACAGCTTCCTGTTGGGAAAAGCTGCATTCAAAATATGTTGCTCAATTCCTGAACATTTTAACCCAGAGGCTTCCTACTGGCAATAACCGATCCTACAAAACTCTCCCTGTATATGCAGGAATAAGAACTCTTCCCCTTAGCATCCAAGCATTCACTAACTAGCACCCCAGGCTGGAAGACAGACTTGGTCATGTGGGCAACCCTGTTTAACTTATTTTTAATACTTATGTACCTGAAGAAGAAAAGTGTTACTGTTGCATGAAACTGTCCTTATTTTAAGCATTCCAGGAATCAATTTTTTAACAAAATGAACTGTTGTTCCTCATAAAATGTCATCATTTCCCAGCCAACAACACTTTGTATATGCCAGTCCCAAAGAAGCAAAAGCAAGCTACTCAATGGCTAGTGCCAGTAGGCTAAAACCAAGATTTGTACAGCCAGCCAAGGCTTTGTACATCCAGCCTCTTCATCTACTGACTTTAATAATGCTTTGGCATTTTTAAGTATTCTACAAACAAATTAGTTGTAGAATTTTACAAAACAAGAAAAAAGGAGTAGAATTTTGGTAGCTACATTTGCATTCCAAGGCCACTATCACAGATAGGACTACAACATCCTTCTGGATTTTCATCTTCTCTTTTGTCCATATGCTAAAGTTCTTCTTGGGCAAGTCTTAACTTTTTCAGCCTCTGCCACAAAGCATGTGGAACACAATTTACCACTTTATTATGGCTGTAGCCTGTGCAGTATATTTCAAGACTTTATCTAGAATAAGTAGCATTGCTCCTATTTTACAGAGAAGGATAATGGACCCCTAAACTCTCCATTTCTCACAGATAACTTAGAGCAATTGCTCAGTTTTATTTTAGATTGTGTCTTGAATTAGAATTCCTAAAATTAAAGAGCAATCAATTCTTTCCAGGCTTCTGTTTGCACTTGAGTTGGGCATTTTGGGAAATGAATGCATCTCTAAAGCATCAACCAGATGGATTTCTACTAGCCCAGTGACTGACTGCTAAAATGATAATTGTAATACATTAGAAGAATAAGAAAGCTTTAGCTATAAAAGAAGCATCAAACAGGCCTCCTGATGACATCTTAATATAACATTGCTTACATTTGGATTAGAAGATAATAAACCAGGCAATTTAAACCCAATAAGGAATTTGTGTTGGAAACTTTCATAAGAACAGGTTCATAAAAGATAGGGGGGGAAACCTGTAATAGCTGCAGAGCCTTGGAAGCACTTTTTGAAATTACATATATAGGCCTTGGACACACTTTGAATTTGTAGTGCTATACATGACCATTTAGCACTACAGAAAGCTAGTGTGCATACCTTAGGCTGTCTGTAACTCTAAGGTGGCAGATCCACCCAGTGCCATCCCTAGGGGCATGCTGGGCCCGGGGCATATCAGCTCGTGCAGGGCAAGGGCATGACAAGCAGAGCAGGAGGGGTGGCAAGCGACCAGAGCATAAAGCCAGTGGTGCACGGCAGCTGCAGCAGGAACTGTACAGCACTATCCACGGGGCCCCCCGAAGCCAGGACCTTAGGCTACACCTCTGCTTGCCATAGCGAATGAGCAGACAGCTGCTGCTGCCTCTGCAGTGATTGCAAAATGGCTGCTGCTACCACAGGAATTTTGTGGCATAAGGAGGGTTGCTGCTCCAGGACACAGGACTGCAACCACAGCACCTTGCTGCCCATGGAAGTAGCAAGGGGTAAAGAGAGATCCCACTCTGGGACCTGGGACCCAGAGCAGCAGCCAAAGATAGTTTGCCCTCTCCCCTGCCAGGGAAGGGAGACAAGTCTGCCTGGTCCTCCTTTCCTGGCAGGGGAGAGGTCAGGCTGCTAGTGATCAGACACATTGACAGACACCCCTAGAGTGGGAGGAGAAAAGAAACAGTGCTTTATCATCCCCTGGCTGGAGAGCATAATTGCAGTGCTCCAGCTGGGAGCTCTAAATATGCGTATATCTTCATAGTACTCTATTTTTGTAGCACCAGAAAAATGAACATGTGGCCAAAGCCACATATGTTTATATGTAGATGTGCTATTATAGTTATCACTCCTTCAAACAGAGAGACCCAAACTTACAAGTTGTGTTTTGTTTGGAAGAACCACAGGAGACTGAGAACACTGACAGATGTGCAGATCACTTCACAGAAAGTGCCATGAGTTACAGCAAACCCCCTGACCCCCATTTGGTTGGGGGGGGTGGGGGGAAATCGAGCTGCACTTTGAAGCCAATCCAGTGGTGAGAGGCTGATTGTCTATAGCTTCTCTCCCCTAGCCCTGCTCCGTGCTCTGGTGCTGTCTTCAGGATGGGAAGGGGGAGAAGGCAGTGAAGGGAGCTCCAGTCTGGGGTTTGCCCAGCCTGCGCTGGAAGTGAGGGGGGGGAGCAGGTGGATTGCAACCCCTCCCTACCCCTTCCCCCGAGGTGGGGGACTACAATCCACTCCTCCCCCCAACCACCTCTAGGCGCAGGCTGGGCAAATCCCAGATTGGAGCTCCCTCCCTTCCTGAAAACAGCACCTGGGGCGGGCCTGGGCTGATGCAGCCTAGCCCTGTTCACACGCAGGGATAAACAGAACTTAATGAAGGTGTGGCAGAAGGCCACCTCTGTTTCTCCCCAAAATCTCTGCTCTGTGACAATTTGGTTAGGATGGGCCCTGCAGAGGAGACACACTTTACCCTATCTCTTTAGGTAACCTGAGCTGGATACATTCCTGAGGGAGGGGGGAAACCTGCTCCCTCTGCCTACGGGACTGGCATCACATACCTGGGTGAGGGGCTTGCTCCCTGAGGAGCTAGGAACTGCAAGTCTGCCCAGCAACTAGTGATGCATTTCAAAGTGGTTGGCTGACAGCCAACAGGTGCTGGCTTCCATTGGACCAGGTAAATGAGGTCACAAGGGCTATATAATTTAAGGACTGCCCGGGAGGTGGGAGGCAGCAGCCATGAGGAAGACTCGGAGAGAGAGAGAAGAGCTGGACTATCTGAAACTTGCTCTCTCTCAAAACTCATGATCAAGGAACTGCCTGCCTCCAGAGGGAATCTTCACCTGCCTCTGGATGATACTTGCGAGTAAGCTACCTGAGATCTAACTAGATATATATCTTGCAGTAATTCAGATGCATGATCAAAGGCTACCCAGCTGTGCAAGTTTCCTCTATGGCACAAACTGTGCCAGTTTGCTCTATGCTAATATTCTCTGATATTGCTCTACCCTGTACCCTATTGCAACTCTACCCCTTGTAACCAATAAAGTTCTCCTTTGTACCTAGCACGGGAGATGTATTGGGTGTGGGTCTAGATTATGCCTTGGGGTCCCCTTGGTTCAGATGACTAAAGAAGACAACAACTTGTGCTTCCAACTGAGAGAAGCACCCCCGAGTCCTTGAAGTGAGTCAAGTACCCTCGAAGGCTACTAGGCCTGTGTTTCCCAGGGTGCACAGAGCCAGAATCAAGCCCAGCCCTGGGTGGTGGCAGTTTTTATACCAGGCTAGCCGGTGTGCTCCAGGAAGGGGGTTGGCCAGATGTGAGGCACCCCCAGGGAGGCACTCAGACCCTGGAAGGTGGTCGGGCGCAGTGAGGTGGGTGGCTCAACACAGGAGCACCCCCTACTGGCCCGCCACAGAAGGCACTCCACTTTGGAGCACCTTCATCTGAAACCTCACTAAATGAGGATTAATTTGTTGCATGATTGGGCACTTTTAAAGTGCTCCACAACAATGCACTTCTGTCAGGCCATGGCTGTAGAGCACTTTCAGGGGGCTAATCACATGACAAATATCACTTCTCTCATCACCCTGATACATCAGAGATACATGCAGGTAATGGTGGGAAGTGCATATCACTAATGAATTATACAAAGAAATACCACAAATATATAGGAACAAAATCAGGAAAGGAAAGGCAATAAATGATTTGTAATTGGTAAGGACTATTAATGACAATATGGCAGACAGACAACATCATTTGAACCCTACTCAAACAGAGAAAAATGGATAGGGAAACTCGGAGTCCTCTGCTCAGGGCAGAAAGTGGAACTGCTCAATGTCTATTCTATTTCCATCTTCACAAAAAAAATCTACATCTATGACCAAATGACTAGCAAAAATAAATAAAAGAAGGACTGTAGATCGTAAGTAAATAACACATCAACACACCAGAGATCTTTTCACTCTTTGGAATTAACATAAGTCACAAAGACCTGATAGAATTCACCCCAATATGTTGTGGGATTTGGCTGGCAAAATGTTGGAACCACTGGAAACAATATTTGCGTGAGGTCCTAGAGGAAATAGAGATGTGCTAAGACAGCTCCCGTCTTTAAATAAGGCAAAAAGAAGGACCAGGGAGTTATAGCCTGGACAGCCTGACTTCAATGCCTAGCAAGTTACTAGAGCAATTTTAAAATATTCAGGTGGTAAATAAGTGGAGGGTGGAATGATCACCAGCATTATGCATGGATTTGCAACAAGTCATGCCAAACTAACTTAATGTCCTTTCTTGACAGGGCAACACAGTTTGTGAATAAGGGGAATCTGATGGCTACAATCTAGTTTGAATTTAGTATGCCATTTTACACAGCCTCACAAGATAGGGAAATGTAGACATAATTGGCTAAAATACCTCCAACAAAGTGTGAATATCAATGGATCATGTCAAATGAACAAGGGGGTTTCAAGTGGAGCATCATTTAACATTTTTATGAATGATTTAGATGCAGAAAGAGAGAGCATTGAGCCCAGTTTTGGGTACTGCATATTAAGCAGCACATAGTGAAACAGACAGTCCAGAGGAGAAAGAGAAAGATGATGAAGGGGTTGGAAAGCAAACTGCAGAAAGGAAAGGCTGAAGGAACTAGTTTAGTTTGGAGAAAAGGAGAGTAGAGGAGACATAATAGTAGCTTTCAAATATCTGAAACGCTGACATAAAGATGACAGAGAAGTATTTGCTTTTCCTTGCTGCACAGGACAGGCTACATGGAAATGGGTTTAAACTACAGCAACACAATTTTGGAATAAATCTCAGGAAACTGCTGTAAGAACTGTAGGACAAGGGCACAGGCTGCCCAGGGAAGTCATGGAATCCCCTTCCCTGAAGCTTTTCAAGGCAAGGCTCGATCTGTGATACTATCATTCTATGCACTTTACATACATTACTGACAATTCAGGCCCCGCTTCAGCAAAAGGCTTCACCACACCTTTAAGTATTTTTCTAAATCTTTGCCTAGAGGTCCACTTTGAATCCCAAGGACTTTCCTTTCCTCAGCAGGGGGAGGGTATTTTTAATATTTTCATGGCGTATTATATTTCTGAGTTAAAAATTTAAAAGTAACATGGGGAAAAAAAGAAAAACAACCCTCTTGACACTTCCAAAAATACCGAAACAAACAAAATCAGTGCTTAATGATTAAATGAAATGCTAAATTGAATATTCAAGCTAATCACAGCTTTATAGGGTGAATGTCAGAATGACTTCCTCTGTCTCGTGCTTTGAGTCACATCACTGAATGATGCACAGAACAAACATAGAAACATTAGAGGAATTCAGAAGAACTATTTTCCTTTTAGAATGCATCTTTAAATTCAAGGGTCCTCTCTCTAGTGCATTCACTCTTTCATATTCTCTAAAGGTCCTTTTACAGCTTCCATTGCTGTTGTATGCAAGTGTGTCGCAGTATTTAATGCATTTATCTTTCCCATACCCACATGAGGAAGGAAGTCCTGGGCATCCCATTTTACAGCTAGGGAAAACTCAACACCTCTTTAAATCCCCACAATCCTTGCCAAATCCTTTCAATATTCACTAGTGAACACCCCCAATTGCCTCATGTTCAGCTTTTGTATGGCACAGCACTGTTGCCATCTTGTCAGGGCTGAGGAACTCAGCAACCGTTCTCAAACCTGAGAATCCAGGATCCTCTAACTCAGAGTTCCTCCCTTCCCCAAGTGCCACTGGAGGGTGCGGTCTTGTAGACATGCCCAGAATGTGCCTAACATACCTTAGGAATAAACTTTGTACAAGACAATGCAGCCACTTTGTCTTGATGGTGGTGAGAGATGATGGCCTTCTTTTACAAAACAGATCAGTGGTTAGAGCACTCACTGAGGATGTGGAAGGCCAGAATTCAAGGCCCCTCTCTATCTGAGGGAACTTAAACCAGCCTTTCCCACCTTCCAGGGGAGCACCCCCACTGCCAGGCCATGGGTGAAGGAATTTTCCACCCAAGATTTTCAAGCTGTGCTACTTTGTTAAGCAAGAGTTCAGGCCAAGTTCATTATTTCTAATCTCTCAACTCCAGATTTTACAGAAATCCTACAATGTCCAGTCAATATCCTGAACTTTTCTCTAGCTCCCTGCCAAGTACCTCTCCCTATGTTTGACTCCTTCCCTCTACTGTCCACACATTTACCTATCAGAATATCCAGTCTACTCTGTGACCCATGGACTTCCTCCACGACAAAGCTGTTCTCTCTATGTCTTTGCAGCCTCTATAGCTAAACCTTTTTAACCCCCTTCCCCGTTTAAACCCTATGCTTACAAAACTTAGGCTCTTACATTTTGTGCCATATATCTATTCCCTTTCCCCACTCCCTTTAACTCTATGAAGGAATTGCAAATTTCTTCACAGAGGAAATACCATCTAATTAGGATATCATATTTCCTTTTCTCACCTCCCATTCTCTAATCCCTATGGAACTTCTCCTTTACATCTTTTTCTAAACAATCAGTGTGTTCCTTCAGCCTTACTCTCTCAAAAACTAATTGCCCCATACATTCCTCCACCTTGTTTATTACTGGCCATCATTGTGTTGGGTTTGTTTTAGAGACAAATTCTCAGAACAGGAGTGAAATATATGCAGCCTGCCAGGACAATCCCACAGGCCCATCACAGATCTTTATTAAACCGCTCCATTAAAAGAAAAATAATTTTAAAAGTACAAGAGTGAGCCCTGTTGCATAGCAGTTAACAATCTATGCATGTGTACATGTATTGTCCATTTTCCAATTTATAAATGCATTGTGGGCTTACATTCAATCAAAATAGACCTGACTTGTGCTGGGCCTCGATGGGTTGGCATGCCTTGCAAGTGGCTCACAAAAAAATCTGAGTGGTTGTGCACCTTGCCTTCATAGTACCAAGTACCCACAATTCTCCCTGAAGTCAAGGGGAGTTGCAGGCATCCCTCGCTTACCAGATCAGGGGGTTACAATCTACAGGACAGAACCTAATCACTTTTGCAGCAGTTGTCTGTAAAGCACCTGACTCACCTATGGGATTTCATAAGCCAAGTAAATATTATCTGGATAAATTCACTGCAAGCTATTTACTTGTTCATCCTCCCTGCATAAATTGGTATTTTTAGAAGATATTTACCATTTTAATTTTAATAATGCATGAAATCATGTTTGGGAAGCTTAAGAGCAAAAACTTTAAGGTTTTTTGCTCTTGTTAGCATTAGAGCTGATGCTCCTACTGTGAAGGAAAAGCTTACAAAGCGTGTTAATACTGGAGATGGAAAGTGTCACTTACATGCCCTGAGTTTCATGATGCCTTTCTGGAAAATTTGGTTCCAGTGTCTCACTCCAATACTGGATAAGGGTATTTATCGCTGAAGCAATCTTCAAGGCCTCACTGTCGTTTGAATATTGAGACACAAGATCAACCATATTTCCTCCAAGTTCAGAAAGGATTTTTCGAAACTTGCTGCTGCCGAACCACTGCTGAAATATCTAGATTTTTAAAAAAGGAACACAGTGGCTTTTGTTACATGAAACGGGAGCTTTTTTTTTTTTTTTTTTTTCACACAGAACACAAAAATTCTTGGTTAGATGAAAACAAAGAAGTCAGGTTTTGCCCCTTTAGACTTTATCCCATACAGTGAAAGCTTTCTCCATTTCCTCAATCAGAACGGATTGCTCTCATGAAAGATGACATTAAACATGACAGCTGACAACATACATACAATCTTCTTAATTCTTTTACTAGCCACTACATACAAATAGCTCAGATCCCAGGTCTAACAGAATTGCCCTCAGAGTGGTAGAAAATGGTAGAAAGGAAGCCTTCAGCCACTGAAAGGTCCGTCTCCCCATTCAATTGAGTTACAATTAAGATGAGCTTTTAGCATGAACTTATAGTCCCTTTACCTTTGATGGCCTTATTCCCATGTTGAAGTCAAACATGAACTTAATTGTTCTGATGAATCAGCGCCCTAGTGAAACAATCCTATAGTCTGGCGCTAGATCCAGCCAGCTGCAGTAACTCCATAGTGATTATACTTTCTGTCCCTGTCCTGAGAATGTCCTTTAAACACCAAGTGGCATAAACCACCTATACCAGCTTTCCAACATCAGGGATGCCCCGTACATGAAAGAAATTCCTGAGTACCAGTGTAGCATTGGAATCTGGCCTGAAGCATATATTATAGGCCTGTACGAATAGGAAAGTATTCTATTCGGATTTGGCCAAGTCAGAGGACAGTGATTTGATTCAGAGATTTGGATCACTGTCCCGAATCAATTTGGCTGAATCAGCTTTGGAAGATTCAGTGCTGATTCAGAGAGATTTAGTGATCCGGATCAGCCAGGTAGAAACAGGCATAGCCGGGTGGCTACAGGTTCTCCCATGGCTCCTCCAGCTGTAACTGCTTCTCCCTGGGTGGGGCGAGCCATGGGAGAAGCCTCCATGGGCCCAGCCCCATCCCCCCACAGGCAGCAGCCTAGTCCTGGCACTTAAAAAAAATAAAAATAAAAAAACCCACAAAATCACCAGCTCTGACAGCAGTAATTAGGGCCTCTGGGTGCAGTGTGGGGCAGCAGAGATCATCCCCCTCGCTTGGCACCCACACGGCAGCTGTCACATCACACAGGTGCAGCATGGCTTGGCAGGGCGCTGTGCGCTCTCTGGGAGCTCGGGCCTCTGGGGCTGAGCGGTGCCAGGCTCCAGTTGACAGGTGAAGCTGCTCTAGCTCACAGACAGCACACAGCGCCCTGTCAAGCTACGCTGCACCTGTGTGATGTGGCAGCTGCCGCACGGGTGCCAGGTGTGGGGGGAGTAGGCAATCCCTGCTGTCCCGCACTGCCCAGGACTGCACAGGGGGGCTCTGCCACGAATCCTCAGAGGCCCCACTCCCTGCTGCCAGAGTCCGTGAGTTCTGGGGGTTTTGGGGGGGTTTTTTTAAAGTGCCAGCAATCTGGGGCCAGGAGGGAGATGGGGCCAGTCAGGGAAGCCATGGGGGCCTCTCCCACAGCTCCTCTGGCTGTGCCTGCCTCTGCCCTGGCAGGGGGAGTTGCCGGGCCTATGCCCTGCTCCTGCTTGCCCAGCTGCCGTGGGGGAGGGGGGTGCACTGCACTCCAGGCGGCATCACGGCATAGCCCCCGCTCCCAGCACTGCTGTGACCGTATCAGAACTGGGAGCAGGGGCTCTGCCCTGCCGCCACTTGCCAGCTGGCGTGGGAGTGTGTGGGATGTGGGCGCGGCAGTGCTGGGAGCAGGGGCTCTGTCCTGCTGCTGCTTTTCCCCCTTCCATCTGGAGCAAGCCATGCTCGCATCCCGCCCCACCGCTCGCCCCAGCTAGGCAAGTGGCAGCAGGCCATAGCCCTGCTCCCAGCACTGCTGCATCCGCATCCTGGGCCCCCTCCTCCCACCCAAGAAATGTGCCCCTCCACCAGCAGCTGGGCAGCTTGTCCCAGCCCCAATCTCCCCCTCCCCCACGCCCCTTCCTTCCCCCAACCCCAACAGATTTACTAGCTGGAGGCAGCTGTGTCAGCTGCCTGCTTAGTCTATGGACGAATCTCTGAAGTGGCCGAATCTTTTCTGAAGATTTTCTGAATCTATTTGCATGCTTTGAATCAATTTGGAGCTTTTAATTGGTGTCCCAATTTGGATTCGGAGATTCCAAATTGGGCCGAATGTCCTCTGAATTGAATCAGCTCTGAAGCTTCGCACAGCCCTTGTAGTGATTGCTAGTGAATGGTGTGCACTTGCCAAGAATTATACAGTAATACCCAAGATAAATTGCTGGTTTTCCTTTAACTACAATACAGACAAACTGTGGCATATGTTCGATCAGAAGTGAATTTTAAAGCCACAACATAACCACCATGTAAATTTACCAGGAGAGGCACTGAAGCATCCAAAGGGTTAAATGAGCTCAGTTTTGCTGTCCTCAGGACAGAGACAGGAGTAGTTGTGCACAATAGATTATTACATAATTCTATAGCTCCATACAAATAATCATTATCTAAATTATACCCTTTTCAAAAAAACACAGAAAGGCCAATACTAATAAAATGACAAGTTAAGATAGGCTTTCCTTGAGCTAAGATTAATTAATTTCCCTTCCCCAAGAGACTACCTGGAATGTGTTTCCTCTCTTTTGCACAAAATACACACACATATGTCTTTATAGACTAAGATGGAGTTTGTTTTCCAAGCCATCCTACATCAGCAGAATCTTTAGGTGACACAATGGAGATTCCAGAACTATTCACCCCAACACATCTTATTCACCATGACCACAGAAATAACAAAGGCAAAGTTAACACAGATGAAGTTACAGTCTATTTACAGTGCAGTCCTGTATTCTGTTCTTAGTGGGCATGTCTACGTGTGCAATCAATTCGAAGTAGGCTTACTATGCAGGAAGCCCAGTGGGCTTCCTGCATAGTAAGCAGATTCACTCCCACCAGGAGCAGCCTGGAGAGGGCTGCACCCACCCTGCTCTGCCCCCCTGCAGTACCCAAAGGAGCTCTAGGCTCTCCCTGGGTACTGGCCCAGGGGCTAGCAAGGAGCACAGCTGTCTCCTGGCCCCATACACCTAGGAAGGGGTCCTGATGTGCATGAGGTGGGAGAGCTGCTGCTGCAGAGTTCTCCTGCCCCATGGACATGAGAACAAGTTCTGTGTCCAGCAGGGCTTCCCTGCAGCTGGCCAGGACCTGTCCCCATCTGAGGCAGGTCCCAGCCAACTCTGGGCTACGACCCTTCCCCACAGCTGTTCCCGGGCCCTGTGCCCTGATCAGGCACTTGGGTTAGGGGCTGGGAAAGAGCTGCTTGGGAGGGGACTCTTCCCAGCCCCCTCCCACGATCACCCCATCAGGGCACAGGGATGGGAAACAGCTGTGGGGGGGAGGCAGGTCCTAACCCCTGCCCTGATCTGCTGGTGGGACAGCTAGCAGTGAACCCTCCGCTGGGCAGGGATTTCCTGCTCAGCTGGGGACAGCCCGGAGCTGTCCTACAGGATTTCCCACCCAGCCGGGGGCTCTCATCTAGCTGCCCCACTGGTAGCTTCCCAGTCGTGGGAAGCTCAGCTCCCTGCTCCTGTGGGGAGCCAGGAGCCCCAAAGCTCCGGAACAGGGGGCAGAGAGAGACCCAGTTCCTATGCTGATCGGATCCTGGCTCCAATCACAGAGCTAGGGCTGAGGCTTCCTGTTGCTGGGGCAGGGTAACACTGCCCCGGCTGGGCTCCACACTCAGAGCCCGCCCCAGCAGCAGGCAGCTACTGGGAGCAGGAAGCAATCTCCCAGCTTTCACTCTGATCACAGAGTCAGGGCCAGGAGCTCCCTGCTGCCAGGGCAGGGGGACATTGAGGAGGGGATTGTTCTCCCACCACCTGCTGCCCAGGCTGACCAGTAGCAAATTTGCAAGTAGCAAATTAACCCCACAGTTGACTAATTGACTGTGCAGAAGCGTCGGTACGTTTAGTATCAGGATTGTGACAGCACTGTGCAGTAAGCATCACCCAGTGCTATCCAAATTTAGACTTAAGCAGGACTTCTCCTTTGGCTGGGCCTCAGCACTGGACCAAATGTCACTTATGTTCTGACAGGTTTAAAGAATGAGCTTCAACTAATTTAGAAATGTTGGTTACCTAGAGGCTGAATAAACAGTGCTATGGTATATTTCATTGCAAGAACTCTATTATTTTAAAGCAAAATATCACCTGCCTTTTTGTCAGCTGAATATTTTACTAACTGTAGTGTTGCCTGCCCTCATTCATAAGTTTTAATTACATAATTGTTAGTCACTGACCAAGAGTATACTGCAAAATTGTGTATTCTAGCAATTGACCTATTAAAGCATACCTGTGTGTAGAGTTTGATCTTGTTGACAGAATGGACAAGATAGAGTTTGGCCTCCAGCCATGCAGGGATACAGCCACCCTCATTATCCCGACTGTCAGCTCCGGCTTCTGACATGTTGGACAGGGCTGAGCACACAAAATGCTCCAGTGTGTCTTCAGTGGGAATCTGGCAGTGACACAAGAAACAGATGAGCATGTCAGAAAGCAGCTTGGTATTATCACTCATATCAGCTTACTTACCTGATAAAAAAAAAAGAATAGCCATGAGGCCACTCTCAGGATGAACAAAGGCCAATTATTCAAACCTGGTGATGTTGGAGTAGAGCTTGCAAATGCATCCTGCACCAGAAGCTTCATTACCTACTAACCAGCCATGTGCATTTCAGAGTTCCTCTGCATCTGGAACTTTTAATCTGGGGTAGCCATAATATTGAGGCCACATTGACATAAGCTCCCACTTTGAAACTGGAATAAAGACACTGATGCAAATCTTGATTCATATGGATGAATCATTTCTCTGTTGGAGTTTTGCACCAGGATAACTGCTTTGGTGTAAATGCATAGACGCAAACAAGCTTCTAGATGCAATTATGTATCAAACTGGCTTTTTTTTTTTTTTTTTTTAATAAAAATAATTTAACTGAAGTAGCAACTGAGGAGGGCTGCCAGACAGTTTTTTTCCTCATGCTGAATCCATCCGACTTCCAGGTCAGAATTTTTAAATTTACTGAACAAACTCTCTCTCTTTTTTAACGAGAGTATTTAAAATCACTGTGCCCTCACTAATCCATGCCAACAACAACCCTGTCACAATGTGGTTTAAATTATGACTCATGTTATCTGTGACTACAGAAACACTAGAATTTTTTCAAAACATCTAGTCAGCAACGCAATGAAACTCAGGAACCAATACATTGATGACTGCTTAGGGCTGACAGTCACAGTCCTGTATAGTTCTTTGTGAAGTAGCACTGAGTCAGATATGATCCCAACTGTACAGATGACCAACCTGAGACAGACAGCATGTCTGCACCACTTGAGGACCATGCCAAGGAGCAGGTGTGCCACAGTCCATTCTGAGACTCCCTACCAGAATCCTCAGCTGGCATAAACGCAACAGAAGCACCTGGCTGCCGGTGACACAACAAACCAAGAGCACTGTGGTGACTGATAGTCCTTCATTCAGTTTACTGGACCATCCTGGCCCTCAGTGACCATTCCCTTCCAAGAATACTGAGAACCAAGGTATTCTATGACCAAGCCGCTTAAATTTTTCAATGAAAACCCCTGATAGGCACATGAAAATTTGCCCCTAAAACTCAGGTGGAGAGCAGCAAACAAGAGATCTTTGATAAATGGCAACAAGTTCTAGCCCAAACAAAGGATATAGTTGACAAATGATAGATTATTATGTAGGTATGTATTTATTTAAACATGATTAAACTATATTATCATAATAGTTATTTTTGGTCCAGGGGAAGAAAAAAAGAAAGCAGCCAAGAATCTGGTTAAATGTTTTCCCCAAAAGGACTTTTAAAGCCAAATTTTGTTCAGAATTAGAAACGCCTTTCTTTTCCACCACTTTTGCTCATGTGGAGAGTTTCACCGAGTTTAATAAAACTATTCACTAGAATGTACTCACATGACAATCACGTTTAATATTAAAGAAAGGCACTTGACGGAAGGCTTTAAATCTCTATGAAGCCACTCAACTGACTAACCAAACAAAAGCCAAATATGGGCCCTAAACTTGCTAATTTTTGCCACATTATTATTTAACTTTAATATATAAAAAGCTCATTTGTAGTGTCAGAAGAAACAATACACTTGATAAGAGACATCCTCCACCAAGTTAGTCCATAAGCATGGGAAAGGGTGTTGGCAGGAGAAGAACTCTGTAAACAGATACCAACAAAGAGAGTAAATTATAACTAGACTTTTATAGAAACAACAACATAGGAAAGGGATGCTGAATTTAAAAAATAAATTAAATTAAATGTTAGCAAGATGTCAATGCTTTGGCCTAAATTTATGCTTTGAAGTAGCACTGTTGATTCTACCTACATCTATATTTCTAAAAAATTATAAATTGACTTCAATGAGACAAAGTTAGGCACACACTGATGCTTCTTTCTCAATTTGGGACATTTTAATCTTACTCCAAACTAGCTTTTCTATTCTAGTAAAAGGAGATGCCGGATAAATGCCATATAAATCCATTGCTATTTAAATCCAGAAATGCCATATAAATCCATTAGATTGCAGCTCAGTATAATTATATATACCTTATAAAAGGTGACAATGACATTCACCTTAATTGTAGTCAAGCATCCCTTATTATTGCATGTCCTTCTTTGACTCATTTTTCTCTTCTTTCATTTAGGATCTTAACTTTTCTTATTAATGGAAACCTTCTAGATAAAACTGCTAAACAATTCCAGTCTAAAGCAATCATAGTTTATAGCAGTAAAGGAAGGGGAGGGAGTTGTAATTTTAATTCCATTTAAGTAGGTGACTACCTCATGGATCAAGTAATCTGACGATCGAATTTACCAATGACTGAATTAATTAAATGGCACTGCATTTGCAATAGTTATACATATGGATAAGATGCTCTCAGAGCCTTGTTACACAATAATTTTGGATGACTCCTGGAGCTCTTAACACCTGGATTGTCCACACATTAACATGTGAAACCAATATTATGTACTTGTTACACAGCTCAAAGTTACACCACTCCAGAGCAGTATCATCTCCAATCTATGTTATCCAACTTGTCTTACATTAACCATTTTATGCTACACTTTAGTGTAAACACCCCACTTGCCCCCTGCCCTGCTGGCCTGGATCAGGCCCACTGCTCCCGCCTTCCCCAGCACCCCAAATATGTGCTCACCACCCCCCTGCCGCTTACTTGTGGCTGCATAAAAATATAAAAGCAGCAAAATGTAAAAAAATATCAGAACACTGACATTTTTATGTTTCCCACCTTATTTAACACTGCCATATAATTCAGAAGTTTCTTAGCATGAAGTTCACTGAAACCAAATCTGGATTCAAGTTCCATTTTGACTGCATATGGATCCCACATCACATCCCAAAGAGAAAGGTTATACTGAGAACCTGTAAGAAAAAAATATCTGGTTTCATATTTCTCACATTTTGCTCATGTTCCATCCCATATCTTACTAATCCATATCTGACAGGACCTATATGCAACCTGGTAAGCTTTTTTACAACAGAGAATTTGAGCATGTTCACGTGCATTGGGTACAGTTAGAGACAGAAATACTGAATATGATTTCCTTACTAACACAGGGAATGGAGCCAATCTAAAAAGGTATTCTGCCAACTATGCATTTGCTGAATTATTTGTCCATTTGTCCAATCTCAAATACTAACTTTACCCATACTGAATCAATCTTTGAAAATAGTTTTTACCGCTGAGAACACAACAATGGAGAACATATATATTGGTATAGAGGACATAAAAGTGTCAGGTTTCGTATCAATAGAGGACAGAGGACAGAGTAGCAGAAAACTGGAGTGTCCACTATAATGGCCACCCTGCCCCTAACACAAACCATTTCTTGAACAGGAAAACTGCAGAATCAGAGACTTAAAGTTTGGATTTTCAAAACTGCTAGAGATTTTCCTTAAATTCAACTTCTGCTGAAGTCCTGGCGACTGCAATAGGAGTAGAATTCAGCCAATACTGAGTGCATTTGAAAATCTCAGCATTCACATTTATTCTTCAAGCTTAAAGAATAAATTAAAGCTTTTTACATTTTCACATTTAAGCTTTTCTAGCAGGTTTCAGCTGAAATAACAAAGAAACAGGAGCTCAGCCTAGATCCTGCATGAATTGTTTTTTTTCCAAAAGGAATCTTGTGCCATAAAAAAACCCTTGATTTTCCAGGAGTTTTTTAATCGGTGAGTTAATAAGCAAAGACAAAATACTGCAAGTTCATTAAGCAGTATTCTCTCATACAGTATACATGAAGGCTGGAAATATTCCACCACACTATGGATCAGAGTCCACAAATCTTGTATGTAAAAGACAATCCTTGACTTCACAGGAAAATTACTATATACAAATTAGGTTTTGTAAAATCTACATGTTCAAGACCTAAACTGTGGGGCAACTCTACAAAATTCCTCATTCCATGTAGGAAGGTTGTAGTCATGATGGGGCAGAGAAAATGCAAGAAGCCAGATTTCATTGGTATTATCTCTTTGGACAACTATGCAATTGGGAGAAATGCTAGAAAAGTTTTTGCTCACAAAATAGGAAGGATTTTTTTTTGCTGAAAACTTGTCTAACTTTTTCCAAAACAACGTAGTCAGTCCAGTAAAGATATCATCAAACACATCTAACTTCCTTGATTTCAGAGACTTCATTTATTTCAGTTCCAAAGTTACCCAACTTCAGCATTTCTTCACTTTTCTTTTTAAAAATTATTTGCATTGGAACTAATGAAACACAAAGGAGAGGCCACAGAAGCCATGAGAATTGCGCAGCATTTTGAATGTCCTGTTTGAATTCATTCAGGCCCTGCCTCCCACATCCAGCCCTTGGCAGTCTCACAGGGACAACAGGATAGGATAGGACCTTGCTTACTGTGAAACTTTTTGATGCAATTATGAGAACCTAATCATTTTCTCTACGAACCCAGCTATCCAGGTCAGAACCAATCTACCCAGAAGGTACTACTGGTACTGTAGATAAACTTCTCTGGCACCTATGAATCCAGTGCAATCCCTGCCCCCATCCTTTTTTGTTCAGTTTGGCAAGCACACCGTCACATTTCTCATATGACCATATCAATTTAACCTTTACTTGGCATTCAGTGCCAGAAGCGGACACAGCCACTCATATGAAAACAGGCTTCTCACAGAGAAGCTACAGCTCAGAATGTGACAGAACATGGAAAACACAGATGTAAACAGCAGAGCAGATGGTGGTGACATGCTCTCCCATGCAGTGGGTGCCAACAGTCCCTGCAGTGTGCCATTCATCTGGATTAGCATGTATAATTCAGTATGCAGTATTGAAACAGCAGGCATCTGTGCTGGAGTGAACAATCACTGAGCAGGGGAAACAAACCACATTGGGTAGACAGGTTTGAATTTTATGAATGAAGATGTAACTTCTTTGCTCTTGCATTTCTTAGAGTGTTCACAAACTATTCAAAGTTTAAGCTGGGCAAATCTACACTGCAACCAGACACATCACTGCAGCATACACAGATATGCCTTTAATCTAGCTAGCTCAGGAAACTATAGTAGATGATGTATGATGGACTTGGAGCCTAAATGCGTTAGCCAGAGTTTCCATCAAGACTGCCCAGTCTGCACAGATGTTCATACTACTCTCTTCACTGATGTTGTTACCCACACCCACTAGATAAAGCCTGAGTCACAACAGCCTGCGTGGACTACCATCACAGGTTTCAGTTCTCTCCCCTCTGTAAGATAGCTGCACGTCTGGTTGGCACTGTAACTATACTGCAAACTATAATTATTTTAACTGTCAGAAAGCAATTTATGCTGCAATTGACAGGTGAGGTGCCATCCAAACCACTGTCTAGAAAGGCCCTCCATCCATCCAAAGCCACACAAAACCAATTTTCTGTTGCACATGCTTGGATAACAATGGAATTTAGAGCACAAAAAAGTAAAGGAACAACAGGAATGACAGCAGCAGCATGTTTTAATAGGCAAAATTACATTTAATAGGCCCTGTGCAAGGACCGAGCACCAGATCTCTGGTTCCCTTGTTTTGAAAGGGTAAGAAATGTAAAGGACTTGGCATGACATTCTCCAGAGAAAAGAATGTGACCCAGCTTGAGCAGATCCTGATCTTACCTTGAAGAATCAGCAGAGGAAAAGGGGAGACAGAGACAAATAACTCGAGAGAACTGAAGGAAGCACCCCAGTTAAGCTTCACCACCACCTTCCCGGGTTTGGCACATGTAGAACAGGAGTGGGAGGGTGGGGCGGTGCTTCTCAACAGTGCTTTCAAGGGCATCATAGTAGTGAGAGATAAGCCACAGTGTGTTTATGTTGCAGGCCAAAAAAAAAAAAGAAATCACATCCTACTAGATGCACAGAAAGAAGCTGCTCCCAAAGCTCATCTTTCCTATTTAAACTCTCTGCCCAGATGTGTGTAGTAGATAGTGGTCTTTAGCCCTTGAACAAAGACTAGTTCCCTTGACTATCTTGCCCTGACCTATAGCATTCATTTTCATTTGGATCTAAGCTCAAACTGAATTCAGCTTCTTTCACAATTCTTGAACACTAGACATACCAATTACAAAGCATCCTCCCCCAAAAATTCATCGTAAACAGTATTCAAAACATGGTAAGTTTGGACTGTAAAACTGGCACCATGAAAGGATTGCCATAACCAGTGCTATCTACTGATTTCTACTAAAGGAGATGCCTGCAAAAGGCTCTGGGTATCCTAAACAGACATTATCAATACCATTTTAAATTGCAGCAGCATTCAATAATTAATTCTTCAAGAGCTCATCTAGTTGTCTTCATCCCAAATTCCTAAAATTCTTGGACCATCTTTAAAAGAAAAAAAAAGATACCATTTACCTTCCAGGCTCCAGTCTTCTAAGAAATGTAGTGCTGTAATAGAGGTATTCAGTCCTAATTTCACTGCTCTGTAGAAACTTTGGTTTGATGGCATTACATCCAACTCTTCCAAAGATGTTATGGAACTGAAAGGAAAAATGGAAAAAAAAAGGAAATACTTTTCAAACTACAGCAGTGCAGTATGCTCTTTAAAGAGCAGGAGAAATATGATGCAGAGCCAGCTGACTTTTCATGACAATTTTTTGGGATGGTGGATGTCATAAGAACTGCCAGTTACTGATTCAGACTGTAGGTTCATCTTGCCCAGTATCCTGAATCACACAGTGACTGAGAGTGGATGTAGAAAATGCAGGAGAAAAGGGTAGAACCAGGCCTTTTCCACTGTTACTCTCCCATTTTCAGAATCCAGCATTTAAGGTCTAGGACAGTGGTTGTCAACCAGGAGGATGTATACTCCTAAGGGTACTTAAAAAGGTCCTAGGGGGTCCACCAACCTAATGTGGCTGATAAATGTTGTGTGTGCGTGCGCAGCTGCATCACAACACGCAGTTAGCCAGGAGAGTCCAGGTCTGACTGGTAAATGTGTTAGTGAAGGAAGGTGGGGGGTATGGAGGGGGTGCAGACTGAGGCCCCAGCAGTGGGGGAGGGAGTGGGGCTGGGGCTGCCAAGCCAGGGCAGGGCGCCAGACTGAGCTGCATAGAGGACTGATTTGCATGTGGGGCACAGAGGGCTGCTGCTGCTGGCTGTGCTGGGACCAGGGATGCACAGGGCTCTTCTCAGTGGGGGGCTGGGCCAGGCTATGCTCAGGTCAGGCAGTGGTGGCCCGGGGAGTAAGGCTATGGGAGGAGCTGCAGCCCACCCCCAGCACAGCCCCAGGTGAGCCACCCACCAGGAACAGCTCAGCGCCAGCCCCGGACTGCAGTGGCAGGCTTCCCTACCCCATGTGCAGTTGCAGGGGCACATGCCCCCACCCCCCATGCCCTCCCAGGGTGCACATAGCTGCAGGGGGAGCCTCCCTCCCCACTCCCCATGCCCACCAGATGCGCCGCTTGCAGCCTTGATCAAGGCCTCTGTGGTGAGGGATGGAGTAAAGCTGGGGCTGGGGCAGGCGCTGCCCAGCTGTGGTATGAGTAGCTCATCCAGGGATCTTGGGGGAGGGTGGTTCCCCCAGCTGTGCACACCCCAGGAGGGCACAAGGGGCATGTCCCCCAGATCTTCGCCCAGGGCAGGGCAGGCTGAAGCTGTGGGCTGAGTCTGGGGTTGCACCAGGCTCTTTCTGGCAATGGCTAGGCTGGGCTGCACTCAGGGCAGGCACCACTGGGAGGGGGCTATAGAGAGGGGGTTGCAACCGCCCCAGAATTTGCCATAGCCCTTGCAACCCTCCCTCCTAGCACCGCCACTGTGTGCACCAAGCACAGGCTGGCCCAGCCCCCGCTGGAAAAAGCCCAGCACCAGTCCCAGCCCACAGCAGCAGCCTGCCCTGTCCCGTGCACAGATCTGGGGGCACTCTTCCCCCTGTGCCCTCCTGGGGTGTGTGTAGCTGTGGGAGCCACCCCCCATGAGGCTCATTCCTGTACTCTGCCCCAGCTGTACAGCCCCGGCTCCAGCCACACTCCCTCCCCCCACCACTGGAGAAGCCACAAGGTGCATGGGCTCTGGGCTGTTCACAAGTGGGGGGAAGGGTGCTGAGTGGCCCACAACAGCTCCCCAGAACTGCCTATGTGGTCCGCAGGCTGAAATAATTGCCCACCCCTTGCCTAGACTCTTTAGTCTCTCCTTATATGGAAGCCCCTCCATTTCGCTAATCCTCCTTTTTGTTCTTCTCTGTACCTTCCCTAGTTCTTCTATATTCTTTTTGAGGTGTGAGGATGAAAACCAGACACTATTCAAGGTGTATATGCACCATGGATTTATGAAGGAGCACAATGATACTTTATATTTAGTTTACAAATTCGCTTCTTAATGATTCCTAACCTTTTGTTTGCCTTCTTGACAGCTGCTAAGCACTGACCTGATGTTTTTAGTGAACTGTCCACAACTTCCAGATCTTTTTCCTAATATAGAGGAACAGCTAATATAAAGCCCATCATAATGCAGGTATAGTTTGGGTTATTTTGCTCATGTGCATCACTTTATACAAAACTACATTGAATTTTATCTGCCATTTAGTTGCTCATTCACTCAATAGTCCCAGATCCTCTTGTAGTTCTTCACAGTCCACCTTGGGCTTTAGCACTCTGAATAATGTTGTGTTATCCACAAACATGGCCACCTTGCTATTTACCCCCTTTTCCAGATCATTTATGAATATGTTAAACAGCAATGATCCCAACGCACAAGCCCTGAGGGACCCTACTATTTACTTCTTTCCATCCCAAAAACTGACCACTTATATTCTTTGTTTTTTATCTTTAAGCCAATTTCTAATCCAAAAATGTACCTTCTCTGTCATCTCGTGACTACTTAACTTTGTTAAGAGCCTCTGATGGGGGACCTTGTCAAAGACTTTTTTGGAAGCCTAGATATACTGTGTCAACTGCATCCCCCTCATCCACCTACTTACTCATACTCTCAAAGCACTCTATTAGGTTGGTGAGGCATGATTTCCCATTGATAAAACCAGGTTTATTCTTCCCCAGTTATGGTCATCCATGGATTGAACAATTCTTTTTTTTATTACTGTTTTTACCAGTTTTCCAGGAACAAGTTAGACTCACCAGCTGTAGTTCCCTGTGTCTTCTCCTCTTTAGAGCCTTTCTTAAATACGGAAGTCACAGTGGCAACCCTCCAGTCAGTGGCTACCCTTCAGCAATTTCTGATATAAACTCCTTCAGGACCCTAAGGTGAATGCCATCAGGTCCTGGCGATTCACTACTGTGTATTTTATCAATTTCCTCTATCACCTAATCAGTTGAAACCTCAATTTCAGTCAGATCCATTGACTTGTCCCTAGAGAGGAGTGGATTGACTAAGGGAATCTCCCCAACATTTTCCACAATGAAAACAGATGCAAAGAATGCATTTATTTCTCAGCAATGCCCCTGTCATCCTTTAGCACCCCTTTTACACCCTGATCATCCAAAAGCCCCAGTGACCCCCTGGCAGGTCTTCAGCTTCAAATGTACTTAAGAAAATGTTAGTTTCCTTTTAGGTCTCTAGCAAGTTCTCTCTCAAAATCTCTTAGCTTGTCTTATCACATTTCTAGATTTGATTTTCTACTGTTTGTGCTCTTTCTTATTTTCCACATTAGGATTTGTCTTCCATCTTTTGAACTAAGCCTTTTTTGTTGTTGTTGTTTATTGCATCTCCAACTCTACCATTAAATCATGCTGGTTTTCTTTTGGTCCACTTTCCACTTTTTGATTTTCTGTATACATTTGCTCTGTGCTTCCAATATCATGTTCCTAAGAGGTTTCCATGAAGTTTCCAAGTTTTTCACTTCCATAGAGGTGGGCCCCTTTTAGCTTTTGTCTCACTAGCGTCCTCATTTTGGTATAGTCTCCCCTTTTAAAGTTAAAGGTTACTGTGGTAGATTTTCTTTTCACTTCCCCACCTACTTGGTTGTTAAACCAACTGCTTTGAGGTCACAACTGCACAAAGGCTCAGCAACACTTACATTTTGCAGCAAATCCTGAGCACTACTTACAGGTAGATTAAGAATGGCCTTTCCTCTTGTAGGTTCCAGGACTAATTGCTCCAAAAAAGAATCTTTTATAATATCAAGACATTTGTTTCTGTATCCCTTCCTGAGGTTAGATTGGCCAAGTCTGTTTGTGGATAATTCACATATTATTACTGTGCTTTATGCTCTTACAGCCACCCTCAACTCCCTTAGCATTTCTAGCTTACTGTTACCATCCTGGTCTTGGGGTCAATAGTATATACTGAGATTTAATTATTTTTATTAAAAATGCAGAATTTATATCCACAGAGATTCTACAGTATCTCTTATCCGCTGAAAAAATCTACCCTATTTAATTTGATGCAGTCTGATGTAGAGTGTCAGTCCCCCACCAGTACAACCTATTCAATCATTCCTTTATGTCACAACCCAGTGATTTTGGTGCCTCGGCACGATGGAATTTTCTTGCCACATGAGAGCCTCTTGCACAGCGAGGGTTTCTGTTGCAGCAGAAGAACCTCGGTGCAAGAGAGTTCCCGCCAATTTGCAGGGTGCATTTCTTCTTTGCAGCACAGAAATGCACGGCGCAAAGAGTTCCGCTATTCGAATGCAAATTTGTGTCCCGCTATTGGCCAGTGCTAAATTATTCACACGTGGCGGCTAGTAATTGGCTTGCTAGCCGTTTAAAATTCCGAGCGACTTCCGCCCAAGTCGAAGAACTTTGAGCACGCTGCAGAGTGCCTCTAAAGAGATCTGACTTGCGACTAGCTGATCAATAGACTGATCACCTATCGATCCTTCTTCCCGTCGCCGAGCGCAATCCCAGATGTACCCTTTTCCCGCCAGTTTGATTTGCAGACGGATTAACTGGCTTGGGCCTCGCCAGCTGGAACAACTCACATAGTTGTTCAGACGACCGGACCATCTGCGTCGCAACTACAGGCGGTGTAAGTAAACATTTTTGCAACCATTAAACCTTGTCTGCCTCTCCATTCACCAGCCCGCCCAAATGAACGAGCAATTTCTTAATCACCTCGAGTCGGCTCTGGCCGGCCGAGACACTTTATAGTTTGTGTCCTGGTATTAAAGCATCCCATTGGTATTCCTCATTCCACCACAATTCTGAGATACCTATTATATCAATATTGTTATTTACTGCTAAACATTCAAGTTCCTCCATCTTGGATCTTAGACTTCTGGCATTAGTATAAAAGCACTTATGTTTTTGATTGTTGCCTGGTTGGCTACTTGTAAAAGACCTTTTAATAAGTATTTCTATTTGTTCATGCTTGTATCCTCCATGTTTCACCTGAGTACTCCCCTCCCCCAGTTTCTTATGGTTTCACCCCCATAGTGTGTGTCAATGTGAACTGTGCACTGTTCCATACCTGTTGGCTTTTCCCCAACTTTTAGTTTAAAATGTACATATAATAAGCTAATATATACATTTTAATTTAAATGTTTTTATATAAAGGAAAAATTGCATGGTGTTCTCTGCATGATAAAATTTTGTAAATGAAATATTTCAGAAAAAATACTGGACATTTCTTCAATTTAGTCTACAGCTCCAAATAGCTACTTATCCTCACCTTCTCTGAAGCACAAAGCACCCCCTGAAGCTTGTCTAAACCATGGTCATAAGATCATGGCAGAGAGCACCATCGTGGTACAGCATGTCTGCTCCATCCCAAAAGGATATGACATAGCCCCCTGTAATAAGACACTGGGTATGCACCACAAGGTCTGGCGCACACTTGTTCACTGGCATGCACCAGGTGCTGCACCAAAGATGCTTCTTTTATAGCCTTTAAGAATGTCATGCATATCAAAGGGCATGTGTTACTTAACAGCTGCACTTTCCAGCACAGTCCCTTTATGGTGTAGTTGTGCCCAGAGTTATTGATAAGGAAGTGAGAAAACAAAGTTAAAATCTTTCCTTCATTTTTATTCTACCCTCAGAATCTGAATAAGGTTGGTCATGTGACCACGAGTACCACAAAGCTTTCCCAATGGTTATGTATGGGGGTTTGATCATCAGCAGGCTCCACAGATTTTAGGAATAAGTCTAAAGATGTAAACACCTTCTTATACTGCAAGCCTGAACCAAAGTGACTGATTTAGGAAGAATCATAATAGAAATGTTTTCTAATAAATATTCCTCCAAGCTCCTTCTTTGCCCTTAAGCCATTTTGGCTCCCTTCTTCACTTTCTGAATAAAGGCAAGTAGTCTACAGCAATTTCCCTCTGTAGCACCTAGGCTGCCTGTCAATAGCAGTGAGGAGAACCAAATTCAGTAGTGATGGTGAATGGAACGTACTGGAGGGAGTGAGGTGAACTCACAGCTACTGTATGTGACTTCTAGTGAGTTTGGCTAGCCAGAGAATATAAGAGGGGAGTTTCTGGATGGGCTGCCTATGCTACTGAAATAGGTTGTTTCTTTCCTTGTGAAATTGACAGTGACCTGCATTGACAGGGAGAGAACTACACAATGAAACAAAATCAGGTCTCTAATACTGATTGCTATCGACTGCCAAATAAGAATTTCATTAAACTATATTTTAAAAATTGTATTAAATACAACTAAGAAAAAATATGCAAATTTATACTGAGACACTCCTGAGTGTGTTAACATCACATGGACTCCAAATTCGCAATATTTCCAATGCCCCTCAGATAATAATCTTACATTAACTGAGAACACAAAGAATCCAAAAAGACAAGCTAAAACTAGAGCCACTGGGCACAAAAGGCTTATTTCAGGCTCTGCTACCAATGACAGCTTCCCACAATCCTTCTGGCAAGATGAAGAGAGCCGGGGTTGTGGAGAAAGGAGTCTACAAGAGATGACAAGGATCGTAAAACTTTCCCACTGAAGCAAAGGGGCTTGTTTCTGGTCACATGTTGGCTTAACTGTGCCACCATTACAGTTTATGGCAGGAGTAGGCAATTATTTCAGCTGGAGAGCAGCTTAACAAGTTTTGATGAGCTGTTGAGGGGCACAAGGGTAGCCCTGCCCCTTAACAGGTGCCCTGCCCACTGATCACCATCTTAAGACCAGAAGTCCCATCCTCTAATCCCCTGACCTTGGCCACTGGGAGTCCCTCCCATTGCCCTGGAAATATTCCTTGGTGGGGGGGAACAAATCATATACAGTACTTAAAAAAAAAAATTAAACATCTACTATAACTTACTTTAATTTTATTTTTAAAAATATTTTGTCCCGATTTGTGTGCATTTGAATAGTACATCTAGAGGTGATTGCATAATAGCTCAAAATACAGTCTTAGTCTTGTATATTGTCTGTGGGGAGTAAGGGGGTGCATGTGGAGGGTGTGTGGTTGCAGAGTGGGTGCGTGTGGTGGGAAAGTGTGGGTGTGTAGAGAGGGATCCTTGGAGTCCCTGGAGTGTGCGAGTCTCTAGAACTGCATATGGTGGCAGTAAGTAGGGCTTGCCCCATAGCATGCAGCTCCTGCGCTACTACCCAAGTTCCCAGCCACGCACAGTAGCAGCATGGTGCCAGGCAGAGGCTTCTTGTCTTTAGCACCCCCTGGCTTGGGGCTAGGGTGGGTCAGGCCAAACTGGGTGGGGATTGGTTGCTAGCAGCCAGAGCCACACCTCCTGCATGGAGGCCCCAGTTTGCAGAGGGGCAGCCCAGGGTCAGGGCTTATGGAGAGGCCCCATGAGCAAGACTGATTGCCTGGCAGACCAAATCCAGCCCATGGGCAATATTTTGCCCAGCCCTGATCTAGCATCAGTCTCCCATGGATGGCAAGTGGGGAATTCCATTTTTCCCCATGGATATTTTTCCCAATCCATATCTCCCGTGGATAAGCCCAAGTGGGGAACTCCATTTTTCTCTCTCTCCCTCTATGTGCATGCATGTCTATATAGGGATTCTCTCCCATTAAAAGTGCATGTGGGCAGCACAATAAATTAGACAGATATATTAATCCTGGCAAACAAGAGAAAACAAGAATCAACCCATACGTTTTCCAGATTTTAGTACTTACTTTTTAAAGGTCTCCAGAAACTGTGCTAGAGCATGTATCAAATCCTCTTTGTAAAGGCTGCTTGCCTGTAGTCCAGGGAGCAAGTGAAGAAGGTCCCAAAAGTAGGGTTGTTTGTAAAGGCTTTCAACTGTAGAAATGATCTCTTCTGCTTTATTCAAATCCACCTTTATTAAAAAAGGGGTGTGTGTTAAATATTCAGGAGAGAGGGAGGACCAGTGACCTGCCTTTTCCTAACTCCCCCTATCGCTTCCCAAGAATTATTAACCATTAGAAACCTTTTAAGAAAGGAATTAACTGGCTTTGTACATTCACCCTGTGACACATTCACTGCTTTTTGAATGCCTAGCAGTCATAACTTAACTATACATGCATCCCTGGTGGGAAAACCGAATTATGAAAAGCCCAAGGCATCCCCTTCCTCAGCTTCTGCTCAGAGAAAAGAGAAGGATTAACTCTGAAATCCAAAAAGCAAAGTGTTCTGTAGCCCTGCAACAGAAATACAATGTCTCTGGGGGAATAACAACTAGGTATGGTCAAGGAATGATGAGAGAGGTGAAGCCTCCATTCCATCCTTGCTTTTCCAGCTCTTTGTTAAAAGCTTCCATGAAACAGGCCAGGAAGAATGAAAAGGGATTTTCATTCAGTCCAGTTGACCCTACTCTGATTAGTGATTTGATAAAGATGACATCTATTACGCTGGGTAATACCTTCATATGATTCTGCAAAACATAAACAGAAAAATGTGCCAGTGCTTATTATGATGCCATTCACAGGGGGAAGCCCTTCAGTGGGACTCTAACATAAGTGTTTACCAAGATGACCAAGGCTAATGGTGGAAACCAAGACCTTTGTACATTTTCTCTCATTACTGGGAAGAAAAAGGGGGAAAAAAGGTTCAAGGCCAAGTTCAATAATAACTGAGATTTAACACATTGATGAATGTGATTCTCTTTTTATTTTATATTCAGTTCCAGAAAGAAAACCTTGCCATTATGCAGCTCCTTCCAGTTAAATATGTAAAAGAGCAATTTACAGATATTGCCTGTAAAATGCCATCTAATCCATCTCAGATTGTATGGCCTAAAACTTCATTTTACAAAGAGGCAGACATCACTGAAACTATGGAGCAAATTTACTTTGGCTATTGAAAGTTAGTGATTTGTGAAAAACTATAGAATTGACAGCCTTGGAAATTGAATTCTGTGCCCATTCAGTTTTTGTCTTTCCACCAGAATTGCAAACAAGCTGCGATAACAGATGATTTATCTACACTAGGGATGGGACGGATGGCAAACGCATATCAAAAGGGACTACCCAAAGGACTTGAGAGGGACATTTCTCCTAAACTCAGGTCACCCTGTCTTTTTTCACTCCATCTCTATTCTGCTATTCATCAGCCAGGATCACTGCATCAAATCTAAATTAGACACAATCTCTTCTAGACAGCACCCACATCTTTCTGCTTTTACTGTAATGAGCATTTTTTACATGCTGTTGGAAACCACAAACACTCAAAACACGAGGATGAAAAAGCCTTTTTGTTAAGAGTGTTTTGTATTACACTTTTACCCATTTTGTACAAATACATAGAATGGCCTGATAGGTACACCTTTTATAAATCTCATAACAGACATACAGCAATGGCTTTAAGCCAGTAACAACCTAAGCCAGATGCAAATTAGTGATCTAGCAATTAATGGCTCTTTATTAAGTCCAAGAGACTACACTGTTTTCTCAGCAATATCCCAGCCTTTACAAATACACTCTGACCAAAACATGAAAAGTATCACATTTTCTACTCTTTAATACTATAATGTCTACTCTTCAATACTATAATGATACAAACTCTAAAGCTGACATGATAATTTCAGAATGAAAAGTGAAGATACTTACAGCTAACAAAACAGAGCTGTCGTTCAGCCCTGTAAAAACAAGAATATTCCAGAGATATATAATTAGTAACAGCAGAACCTTTGCTACCATACAACTTGTAGACATTCATATATCATATTATAAATTATATACATACACATATGTATTGTATATTTGTGTGTATATATATACACACATATATACACACACACACACACACACACACACACTGTTTATTAAGGAAAAGAGGCTTGAGACTCAGAGTACACCAGTATGTAAACTTACTGTTTCCCAGTATTTGCAAGTATATTATTTAACAACATTATTTATTGGTGATGACTGTGGTATCTCTAACTATTCTGCTTAGATACTAAGGGCCGTCCAAGATGATGGAGATGGTAGATGGTGCTTGAGGATAGGCTAGAGAAGGGTGCTGGCTGTATACCTATCAACACAGATCAAGATGAATTTGCTAACACAGATTAACGTGTTTGGGGCAAGTGCATATCCAATGCAAGATTTGACCAGCTCTAGCTTTCCACAATGTAGCCTCTTCCTAAAGAGCCACCATAAATTGGTAGGATTTTACTGCCTCCTCCACTCAGGGAAGTGACTAAATGACTCAACACTCTCCTCAAAAAAAAGTGTAGCACATGTATATACTGCATCATAAGTACTAGGAAAAACAAGAAGTTAGATCACTGCACTAGCTTATATACTGTGCCTGCTCAGCCCTGGGAGCTAGGGATACTCTTGAATATCAATGTGCCCATATGATCACATTACTGAACCTTGTCCCTATAATTCCTCCCACCTCCAAAGTCTATTTTGTTAGCAATAAGTGATGCAAGTGGTGGTTAGTGTTTTAGACAGATGTTACGCTTGTAGCATGTTATATGCAGTTATCATGCAATTAATTGTAACATGCCCAAAATTTTACCAATTTTGAGATTTGCACTGAGAACTTTCTATCCTGGGATGGAGGCAAACAGATAACATTTACACCAGTGTAACTTACACCGGTGTTTTACCCCCGATTTTTCCTGGAGTAATTCTACATCAGATTCAAGTAGGCTACAGTGGTGAAGGAGCTTATATTGTCCACTTCTCTTATACCAATATAAACATGTGGTCTACCCCAGCCTCAATAGAGAACCCTTCTTACAGCCTGACCCTCTTTTCTCAAGCTCCACTCATCATATTACTCTCCCTAATCCCTTCTCTTATTTGGCATCCACAAATATTTTGTCAGGTTTCATATTTAGATTAAAAGTTTATGGGGATCAGGCATCTATCCTACTGTGTCTCACCTTTGGGTTCCCCGAGACAGAAAAACCAATAGTAATTATTGAAATGATGCTACTTCCTGATCAATTTCTGAACTAGAACATGATCTTTTCATGGCAAAAAGAGCTGCTATCCATTTTAAATGGTTGTCACTTGCTATCTTATACACAAGACAGTCAGTATCTATAAAATGGTGGCTTACCTGGAATCTTTGATTCTTTTCCCCATACTTTTTGTAAAACAATGGCTTTCTCAGTAGTCTCTAAGATTTCCTCTGCAAGGTCTTGTATTTCTTTCAGGAAGGCCATGTCATTTCCCAAAAGACTCTCTGGACCATCTTGGAAATTGGAGGCTCTTTTTGTAGGAGGAGCAAAGACCACATCATTTTAAAATAGTGTTTGGAAAGAAAATATGTCTCTGTCACCTGTGAGCTCAGGCATGTAGGGTGTAGGTGAGAATTTCAATGGTCTATATTTACCTGATTTTATTTTATCTTTTCCCCAAGTTCCTTACAGTTTCTGTTGCAATAAAACTCCCACAAGCAGGGGGGGGGGGGGGGGGGGAAAGGGAGACAAATGAACTCTGGCATAGACACCTCCTCTAGTTTGATGTCATGACTGAGACAATGACCAGTGATCATAGGATCATAAGAAAGTGGGGCTGGAAGGGACCTCAGGAGGTCATCTAGTCCAGCCCCCTGCTCAAGGCAGGATCATCCCTAACCAGAACTATCCCAGACACGTCTGCCCAACCTGCTCTTGAAAACTTCCAAAGATGAGATTCCACAATTTCTCTAAGAATCCTGTTCCAATGTTTGACCCCCCTCATGATCAGAAAGTTCCTTCTAATCTGCAACCTAAATTTCCTCTGCTGCAGCTTGAGGCCATTGCTCCTACTTCTGTCCCCTGAGGCCACAGAAAAAACTCATCTCCATCCTCTCTATGATCTCCCTTCAAAACTGTTATCAAATCCCCCTCAATCTTCTCTTTTCCAGACTAAATCACCTTAGTTCTTTTAGCCTTTCCTCCTAAGTCTTGTCTCCCAAGCTCCTAATAGCTTTTGTTCTCTTCTAGACTCTTTTCCATCTCTCCACATCCCTCTTGAAGTGTGGTGCCCCAAAATTTCTGCCAATCTGCCTTCCAAAAGTTCTATCTTGGAGTTGGTCTGGGTGGTATGGGCTGAAAAATCATATTGTCAAGGTTGATGAGTGAGGGTCTGTGCTGAGATGCTGGAAACTTGTCAAGTACTTTTCTTATTGGTATTTTATTTGAGTAACCATTCCACCAGGAAAGATCTTGGTTTGTCTACATGTTCCAGCATCCAGACTGTGGCTCCTTTGGGTCATATATGAGGGTTATATCATTCAGACTTGCCCAGAGACAAAGATTGTCCCTGTTGCTACTCTTAACAGAGTACCTCCAGTCTTAATGTTGACAATGGAAGTCACCTACATATAAGGTTGTCTGGCTATAAATAAGCAGGGATGTGACTGACATCTCCGCAGACAGTGGCTTGTATACATTGATGATGATTAGGTCATTTAACTTGGACAGCACTCCATTCTTTTGCATTGTGGGGGTGCGTCCACACATGCCTGGACATGCACTTTGGTGTGGGGCAAGTTGTGCCACTTAGGGGAAAATGCCCCTGTCCAGCTCCTCTCATATCTGCAGCCAGGGGGGGCTAGAGTCTGGCACCAGCACTTGTGCTGGACCCGGCAGTATAAAAATGTGCTCTGGCAAGCAGCTCAGGCCTACTTGCTCTCAGGAGTTTCTGGGGTCCGGCCAATTGGTATCTGGGGATATTAGCCCTTGTGCCAGCTGGACTGCTGAAACAGCCTTAACGGAGAGTTCCCTGCACCCTCTACCCACTGTAGCAGTCTGGCAATGGGGGCTGCTGCCTGGGTATGACCTGTTGCCACCTGCAACAGTATGTGGCCCCAAGGCTGCATGCCTGCCAGACCCAGATGGGGACTGCATAGCCACACAGAGGCATCTGAACCTCTGGGTCAGCTGCCAGAGGGCTGTGGCCATGTGTGCGTGTGCATGTGTGTGAACCAATAAGTTCATGGGGCTGTGTAGTGTGTTGCCTGTGTAATAAAACTGTTATTTGGACCCCTAAGTTGGGTTTTGCTTTACCATGGCTTGGCCCTGCTCCAATCTGTGCTCCTCGCCCCTCTAACTTCTGTCTCATTTCTCCCGCTCCTGCTTCTGGCTCACTGCCACCTTTCAGTCTCTCCTGCTGCTTTTCCTGTGATTTTCTGCCCTCCCCCTGTTCCTACTGCCTTTTCCCTGTGACTTTCTGCTGCCTTTCTCTGCTTTCCTGCTGCCCTGCCACCTTTCAGTCTCTCCTGCTGCTGCTCCTGTGATTTCCTGCTGTCCATCTCTCTGTTTTCAGGTTTCCCCCGCAACTTCTGTGTCATTGCCCCCCCGCACCCCAGCAGCTCCTCGTGGCTGTCCTGCAGTTTTCTCCAGCTCCCAGCACCTACTGCCACTCCCTGCAACTTCTCTAGCTGCCCAGGAACCATCCTCTGGCTCCCCACACCTTCCCTTAGTCCCATTTTCCCTCACCCCACCTACCTTTTCAGCTCCCCCATAGCTCTGGCTCTAGTCCCAGCCTCTGTGCGGCATGTTCTGTAGGATTTGGGCATTGTCTTTTAATCAATTAAAATCAATTAACCTAAAGTTACCCCCAAGCCTCAGTTCTTCAGCCCATGCCCCTCTAGTCTACTGGTTCTAATCCCAGTCCCAGTGACTTTCACTCCCTACACTTCTACTTTCTTACGTTAACCTTTCCCCAGGTATCCCAAGTACACCAAGCACTTACATACATACACATCGCAACACCCAACTTAGGAACTCACCTGTGTGTATGTGTAGGTGGTAGTGTGTGTGTGTGTGTGTGTGTGTGTGTGTGTGTGTGTGTGTGTGCGCGCGTATGCACCTAATTGATTTGTGTGTTTGTATATGTGCAATTGTGTCACACCCTCCTATCTAACAGCACAATATTGAGATCCTGACAGTTGGCCTAACCCCACAGGGCAACATTTTATATTGTTAGCATTTTTTTTCACAAGAGCACACTGTTGGCTCATATTCAGCATATGATTCACTGTAACCCTCCACATCCCTCTCCATAGTACTGCAGCCTAGCCAGTCATCCCCCAGTCTGTATTTGTGCATGCAATAACTCCATCTCAAGTGATAAGCGCTTCCAAAAAAAAAAAAAGTTGTTAATCAACTAAAGTGCACTGAAGCAGATGATTGATAATAGGAGGGGATTTCTTCATAAGTCTGACGGGTCACTCAAGATATGAAAAAAAAAAAAAAATCACTGACTAACCATCTCTGCTATTCTACCCAGGCTATGCAAACAGAGTCACTGCACAATAGTGAGAGCCATGACCTACTCAAGAGATGCAACTAAAGCAAAACCTTTATTCTGCCTCCCTGAACAAGGAGCAGTTTTACCTTCTCTGACTAACTAACCTACCAAACTGCCTTGCAAACATCTGATGTGTTTATAAGCAAACAGTAAGAATGACCACCAAAATCCTTAGTATAACAGCAACAGTTTCTAAGACAGATTCTTAATACTCAAAGTGCAGTTTTCCTTCTAGAAACAACTGTTAGGATGGTAGGGTGGGTTGGAAATTTATTGCCTTGCACTGAAGTCCATGATAAAATTGACAATAAAACAATATAGTGAAGCTTTGGACCAACACATACCAAGCTAACAAAAGTTGTTATTATGTCGCTTTCAAACAAAATATGCAAATTTCATGCAACTAAACTCTCAGTCTTTTGACAGTCCAATATAGGCAAGTCTGAGATGATGTAGTAAGTATCTGCTTTACTGTAAACAGTGTCTCTATATTGCATATGTGGTTCATAACAATTTTATGAAGATATGCAAGAGCTTACTTAGGAGAAGAACATCACATTACAGGCACTCAATTTCTCTTAGCTCTTACATTTTCAGCTAAACAAAATTGTACATGCTGGCTATAATAGTGATATCTAGTGGCCGCCTGCTAATATTAAAAATTCAGGCAATGTATATTAATTCCCAGATAGAAACAAAGCAAAAGGACTATATTTCTCTCTTCCTTTTTCTTTATCCCACAATATTCTTTGGAAGAACTACAGTAAACAATAGAAAAAAATTCTCCCTAATATATTGCAAGCTGTGACAGAGGTAACATTAGCAAGGACCCCATTCAAAAAACTACCACTCCTTCCCATCAAGTCAAATAGAACCTGTGGCTAAAGGCTACATTTTCTACTTGTTCACAAAGGGCAAGTGAAGACCTCTCAACTGCAAAACTAAGTAAACAAAGTCACTGTTCTCTAATTTCCTCCTTCAGTCAACAACACTGATACATAACTTTTTGTTTCTGTCAATTTTTTTTCCCCAGATCCACTGTCATCCTATTGGTCTTGAATGGAAGAAGTATTTAGCAAAAGCCTTTGCACACATCCAGACACTGGGTAAAACCTCTAGTCAAGTCAGACAACTCACATCTCCTCATAAACACTCCAAAAGTAACAGTCCCCTATCCCTTCTCAAAACTAGCCCCTTTCCTGAACAACTTGTGGAAGTATTCCTACAGTCATCCATATTCCAGTTTGTATAGAGCCCCTGAAAACCTGAGAAAGAAATAGCACACATACACAACAAACAGCAGCAATAGTTAGGTATGGTTGTGAAACTGATTCAGGAAACATAATCACCTTCTTGAGATCTAAGGGACATCAGCTGGAGAGTCAGGCCTTGGCTCTTCCTAATACCAGCATGGAGCCATAGGGTTTGCTAGGCTACTGGCTTAAGGTAGGCATCCCAAAGTCTGTCCTGACTCGCACTTGACTGTTGTAATGGCTACTACATGGGTTTTGTAGCACTAGAGGATTATTTGGGCAAATCTCCCCAGGGGGGAGGGGGTTTTCAAGCATGGGAAGGGAGAGGTGGTAGCGTAGGCAGAGTAGATGGTGGGTGGTCAGTCTTATCTGCCATTGGGGACAAGAAAGACCTATGCTGCTGCTGCTGTGTTCTCACACCTAGTTCTTAGTGAAGCGAAACTATTCCTGATCCTGCAAACTTCAGGGTAGGAAAGGATGCCATTCTGGGACCCCCTCTAGTGCCCCTTTCTCTCACACACACAGACACACACACACACACACAAGTTATGCTTTTCCCAACAGATGGATGCACAATAGATGGATCTCTGGGCAAGCCCCGGGCACCCCCATATAACAACTGCACCAGTCTCATGCAAGACTGGTCTTCTGATGACTGGAGTATTTGCTAAAGCTTCATTACAGCTGCTATAGATCTCTTGAACACTGCATTTCCAC